CCACGTGCCCCACACGGGGAGTACAGCGCCGAGGGTCAATTGTGCGAGCCGTGGGTGACTCTGTGTGTGAGTGAGTGCGTCACCCAGCCACTCACCCACCCGTGCGTCACCCACACACTCACCCACTCGTGTGTCACCCACACACTCACCCTCTCGTGTGTCACCCACACACCCACCCGTGCGTCACCCACACGCTCACCCACTCGTGTGTCACCCACACACTCACCCTCTCGTGTGTCACCCACACACCCACCCGTGCGTCACCCACACGCTCACCCACTCGTGTGTCACCCACCCACTCGTGCACCGTGCCGGCCTTCATAGGTGCTACTCGCAAACAGCATTTGCCCTAACAACAGTTTGTTAAAAGGCTATATGGGGGATCTTTGTCTTTTGTGATTGGTGACTTGTGTGCTCTGTGTTCGTGGTGGGTGAATGGTGTGTGTGTGTCCTGGGTCGATTCAGCCTTAAATGAGTACTTGAGCCGGTGGTGTGTTAAAACACAACCCATCAGTACCTGGGGAGACAAAGGCGGCCGGGAGTGGTGTTGGCCACCCGCTTCCTTGTTGTGCAGAGCAGGCCTTCTTCATAGGTGCTCGCAAACAGCACTTACCCCAACAGTCGGTTACATGCCATCCGTGTGGTGTGTGGGGGGGGGGGGGTATTTGTCTCTGTGGTGGGTGCAGTGTGTATGTGTGCATGCGTGCGTGTGTGTCTGCTGTGGATGTGTGGAATGAGTGGCTGGTCTCTTTGTGGGCGTGCCGTGGTGAGATTAGTGCATTAATCAGAGTGATGTAGGTTTCATTATATATTCATGTTATTCTTTGTATACATCAGCGGCAACAGCGGCGGCCTGATCTATAGCTCCGAATATCATAATCTCAAAACAGTATTTTTTCAGTGAGAATAAACAAAGACCCCCCGTATAGCCCTAACAGACTGTCGGGGCAAGTGCTGTTAGCGAGCACCTATGAAGGCCGGCACGGCACACGAGAGGGTGGGTGGCCAAAACCACGCCCGGCCGCCTTTGTTTCCCTCGTGGCGATCTTTAAAAACCGCACCGCACCAGGCACTCATTTGAGTCTGAGTCGATCTAGGCGAGGCCCAGGACCGGTTCAGATAATCGCCACCAGTGTTGGCCGTCAGCAGGAATTGGTCGCCGGGTTCCTAGCGAAGCACGTTAACCGCGAGACCACCTGCCCCCCCCCACATGTTTGCAGTGAACGACGCATGTAATACCAACATTATTATTACATTTGTGTTGTTGTTGTTGTTGCTATTAGTGTGTGTACCTTAACGTACATACAATATCGTCATTATCAGCAGCGTCAGCAACAAATTAAACTAAAACTAAATTATTTTTTTCTTTTACCACAAATGATAGCTCAGCCAAATACTCGAAACGCACGTTTCTACATGTGGAGGGGAAAACCGGATGACCCGGAGAAAAATCCACGCGACCACGGGGAGAGCGTGCAAGCTCCAAATATACAGCAGGCGCCGGGGTCGGAATCGAACCCACGAGCATCCGTGTATACCAGGCGAGGTAGTTAACATCTCGCCACCGTGGCTGCAGCATTATCGTTTCAAAATGGTATCCCATGCTAAAATATCAATATTATTATCTCAAGGATATTATGATAGGGAGCTCGACAACACAGAGTCGCGTGTAAAAAAGCACACAGCCTCTGTGTTTTATGCAAAAACGATCAGCATTTCAATCTAGATTTGATCAGCATTTCCTGAAGAACTGCATTGTGGTCCTCTAGTTTTAGATCGTCAGCACAGTAAAGTTCAGCAAATGTGACAATGTGGCAGTAGTGATGCAGTGATAGACAACTGGACATCTGCGAAAAAGAGCTTCATGGCTCATCGGATTCCTCCAGTATAAAAAAATATTCTAATTCCGAATTACAGTGGGCTAGTTTCGTCCTAAAAAGGACTCATCAGCGAACTATAATTCATAATTCAAAATAAACCCAACACAGTAATATTCATCATCATCATCACCATCCAAGTAGTAACATAATTGTGTAATTTAGCTTTATAAATATCCACACAACAAAATATCAATTGGCTGAAATGTGTCGATGGCGGTTGACTTGCTTGTGTAAATGTTGTTGTTAAACGCGCGTTGATGATACGATAAGAAGATTGGCATGATCCGCCCTCCACGCGGTGCCCAGTTCGTCACGGAGACAACACATTCAATGCGTTCCGAAAACGCGTCAGAGGAAACGGACGTCTGATGAGCTTTGATTGATTTAAATGATTTATTTGATTGATTTATTTGATTGAGTAGAATTCCAAGCCAAGGGACCCATTGGCCAAGCCGTTAACGAAGCCCGCCTCTATCTTCATTCATTGCCATTCGTTTGATTTCGTGGGGGAATTCGACCCCGGTCAAAGGAAGACTCGACTCTCAAACAAACACACAAACATCTCTCGTAAAATTTAATTCTTATCAGTCTCCAACACTTCTTATCCACCCGAATCTGCTCGAAACATCGCCTATAATAAATGTTTCCACATGCAGTGTTATTGACGAATGTGTCTAGTTTTGCTCTTGTTTTCTTCGGTTTTTTCGGTAAAGTCACGTAGGTAAAAAATTAAAATTAATAAAAGTAAAATAAAATAAAAATCACGACGTTTCGGAGGCAACACAAGGTGAACATGGTAAACATGTTCACCATGTTTAGTTGTCACAAACCATAACAAAGGTTCACCCTCTTTAGCCTCACCCTACCATATGAATAAAAAGTGTGCTGTACTTGGCCCTTCCCCCCTCTCCAACCATTATATAAACGGAGTGGTAGCTCCTGCAATCTCTCATTTACTTGATACAGCTGTCGTGGCTGTGACGGTTCCACATGAAGACGGAGGCTTGTGTTGCCTCCGAAACGTCGTGATTTTTTATTTATTTTACTTTTATTAATTTTAATGTTTTTACCTACGTGACTTTACCGAAAAAACCTAAGAATATGAATCCTTGCAGTCACGAAAGCTTCAAATCTAGAATTTGCTCTTGTTATTTTGCGCGTATCACGGTGGGCGCGACGCTGTGTAGGCATTCATCCATCAGTGGATAGATCGTTGCTGATGATTGACGACGATACCGTGTGCATGTTTGTGTTTGTCCCGAACTTGCGAGTTGCTTGCCCTCTCCAGACTGGGGCATTTCGACTATCCTTCACTTGCACGTGTGCACGTTCACCTTAACGGCGCCATAAAAACCCCGTCGCACGGACAACGTGACATGACCAGCAGATGGCAGTACAGCAGCGGGCTCTGTCCACCCATTTATGATGATTTCGTTGAAATCGAATACTGTCGTTTGAAATCCTCGAGAATGTAGGATATTAGATTTAGATTTAAAGCTTTCGTGACTGTAGAGATTCATATTCTTGGTTCTTTCGGTAAAGTCACGTAGAAGGGAAATAATAAAATAATAAAAATTAAATATAATACAAATACAATTCTCACGACGTTTCGGCCACAACGCAAGCAGCCGTCCTTAGGTGAAGAACAGAGCTGTCGGAAAGACAGCGTCCTAATGAGGACCCTGTGACTTTACCGAAAGGACCAAGAAAAATGCAGAATATATCAAACCTGTCAACCCCTCATCAGTCCTCTACCTTATTACACAACAATTCAGAACTTACTGGTCACCCCGTGCCCTTAGAAATCTCAACGTTCATCCTATAAAGTTCCATCACAAGGGAGAAACACAAATAGACAAAATCATTGGTTTGTGCTCGAATTGAAACGGTCGTACGCCGTATGCACCTGAAAACTCAATTTCCCTGTACAGGAATACGGGGTAAACCGTACGGGTTGACAGCTATGATGTATTGAGGTATGATGTATTGACACTAATATCTCACAATGCATATTCTCCTGCCATTTGTATTATTGCTATACAAAAAAAATAAGCGAGCAGATTGGTTTTAGTGCTCCGAGTACAGGCGGATATTGAGAAAAACGTTGCATTGTTGAACTTCTTTCGCACCGTACGTAGCCAACTATGCTCATCGGAGGAGGGATCTCGATCAGTAACAGTCGTACATAATAGTGTGCGTAATAATCATGATGATGATGATATAATGATGATGCAAATAATGATAATTATAATAATATAAGAAATCTTCATAACGTAAAAATATAACACGTAATAATGTACATAATGATATAATCATGATAATAATGATGATAATTATACACAGCAAGAATTTGATTTCTTTTTTTCTTGCTGTGGTTTTCCCACCTGATGATGGTTGCTTGTGTTGCGCCCGAAACATCGTTATTTATTTTATTTTATACCTACGTGACTTTACCGAAAGAACCAAAGAGTATGGATTCCTGCAGTCACGAAAGCTTCAAATCTAGATAATGATGATATAACAACGATTCTAATGATATTAGAAAAATGTTGATAACATTTATGATAAAAAATATAATGATTACAACAATACGTAATAATGTACATAATAATAATAACACTGGTCAACAAAAAAAACTGTGTTTTTCTGGCCTGGACATTTGCAGCTGTTTTAGACTAATTTCAGGGTGCTGATTCCAAATCTGATCTCAGATTTGCTCTATCACATCTCATTTTTATGCTATCGGCATACCCCATTTTCATTGATTTCACCCGAAATTAACTACGTCACTTATGATTGCAAGTTGTTGCGAGTCAGTGACTGCTTCATATGTTAAAATATGGTGCTGTATTTTTAGGATAGTGTGTTTATAATATCATTTTATGTAGATATCCACATTTACTTAATATTTTTCTTCCGCAGTTTTTATTGAAAATGCAATATTTGATATCTCAAAAACCTAATGTGATAGACAAAAACTGACGCCAGATTTGGAATCAGCACCCCAAAATTACATTCAGGCCACTACGTCTGCAAATTTTGCGCGCGTTACAAATTGAACTATTATTATTATTACCTTATGCCACAACAAGTGTGTTGACCAATAAAACGTCGCGCCAGGTGTGGTTCCAGAACCGCCGGGCCAAGTGGCGCAAGCGAGAGAAGTGCTGGGGCCGCAGTAGCGTCATGGCCGAGTACGGCCTGTACGGCGCCATGGTGAGACACTCCATTCCCCTCCCGGAGTCGATCCTGCACTCCGCCAAGGACGGGGTCATGGACTCGTGCGCGCCCTGGCTGCTAGGTGGGTGACCGTGCCACACACACACAAAGACAAAGACCCTCCGTATAGCCTTAACAGTCTGTAGGGGCAAGTGCTGTTAGCGAGTACCTATGAAGGCCGGAACGGTACACGAACGAGGGGGTGGGTGGCCAGCAACACGCCCGACCGCCTTTGTCTCCCCAGTGGCGATGTTTACACACAAGGCTGAGTCGACCTAGGTGAGACCCAGGACCGGTTCAGATAATCGTCACTGGTGTTAGCCGTGAGCGGGAATCGAACCCGGGTCGCCAGGTTCATAGCGCAGCACGCTAACCGCTACACCACCGCTCACACACACACGCACACACGCACGCGCACACACACACGCACACACGCATGCGCACACACACGCACGCACGCACAAAGTACCAGGGCAGGTTGAATCGTTCAGATGATGTCCCTACCCACACCCCGACAATACACAAGAATATAGAGATGCAAAAAGTGCTTGCGGTAATTCCGCGATATGCGTTTATTCGATTACAAACAGAGAAGCTTCAAGGTATAACGAACTTGGGATGTATTGCCATTATTTTACACAGGAAGCTAAAAGGCTAAATAACAAATGAATACGCTAAAATTAATAAAAAGACGTGTATTGATCTAAAGTACTATATAAATAAGAATACAATTATAATAAGATGCATTATTACTAGTTTTTAATGACATACTTGTACTGGTAACAACTAATATTTTTGTTTTGTTTTACCCTTTCGTTTTACACGATAAACAGACCTTTCGCCAGCAAAAAACAATTAAGCAGATTCAACATCCACCGTCGCTGCCGCCGTCGACATTCGCTAATAATCGCACGCGGGACCACGTGCCCTTTGTGACGCCTGCGCACGTGACAATGACATCATCACCATCATCACACGCGCATGCGCAGTGGCCACACATTATAAACTAAACTTACTCGAGCGAAAAACAACAGCAAAAACAAAAATAAGATTATTATTTTTGGGTCATTTAGTGAGAGAATCACAAAGATGTTTTTTTTTATTCCATCCAATTTTCTACATTAAAATTATAAGTGAAATGTTTTTTTTTTTGCATACGTGTGAACATTAGGATGTCACCACTCAAATTCAAGTGTGTTTAATTTCAAGATAACACCTCCGGATTTTGTTTATTCATTCGCCTGTTAAAAACTGAAGACACCGCGAGAATTAGAAACAATCCTCAAATATTTGCCGGGTCGCTCAACGCCCATTGAGAAATGCATCGCGGTCAATGTACACAGAGTCCTTAGCGTAGGGGCACAGACACGGAGAGGAATAGAAGTACAGAGTGAGTGGATGCGTGAGTGGGTGAGTATGTGAGTGAGTGAATGAGTAGATGAGTGAGTGCGTGGGTGAGTATGTGAGTGAGTGGATGAGTGAGTGGGTGAGTATGTGAGTGAGTGGATGAGTGAGTGGATGAGTGAGTGGGTGAGTATGTGAGTGAGTGGATGAGTGAGTGGGTGAGTATGTGAGTGAGTGGATGAGTGAGTGGGTGAGTATGTGAGTGAGTGGATGAGTCAGTGGATGAGTGAGTGGATGAGTAAGTGGGTGAGTATGTGAGTGAGTGGATGAGTGAGTGGGTATGTGAGTGAGTGGATGAGTGAGTGGGTGAATATGTGAGTGAGTGGATGAGTGAGTGAGTATGTGAGTGAGTGAGTGAGTGGATGAGTAAGTGGTGAGTATGTGAGTGAGTGGGTGAGTGAGTGGGTGAGTATGTGAGTGAGTGAGTGAGTGGATGAGTGAGTGGGTGAGTATGTGAGTGAGTGAATGGATAAGTGAGTGGGTGCGTGAGTGGGTGAGTATATGAGTGAGTGGATGAGTATGTGAGTGAGTGAGTGGATGAGTGAGTGGATGAGTATGTGAGTGAGTGGATGAGTGAGTGGGTGAGTATGTGAGTGAGTGGATGAGTGAGTGGGTGAGTATTGAGTGAGTGAGTGGAGATGAGCCCGTATTGAAGCTTGGATCTGGCAGCAGAGTGGCTTATCTAAGAACTTCGTAACCCCGCGTGACCACACCGCAAATGACCGCAGGGGTGCACGCGTACCCTCCTGAAAAGGAGTAACGAGCCTCAGTGAGGCTTCCCTCCATAAACAAACGTGTAAATACGACTGGCTCTCTCCTTGCACGACATTAACGTTATGCTCATGCGTAAGCCACGCTGCAATGTAACACGCAGCTCCATGGGTCGACACGTGGACTCAGAGGGGCCTGCGAACGAAATAATAAAAACAAAATCTCGGGTGGCAAAATTCCACCAGTGTCGTCGCCGACGTTTTTTAGGGTACCGCGGTTTCGAGTCCCGGTCCGGACTAACGCCCCGCTCCCCGCGGCGCGCGGCTCGTGGTGTAGCCATGCACAGGAAATCCATGGAGGGGGTCAGCAAATACGAGGTGGCGCGTGACGGGGTCCCGAGCCCCCCGGGAGAGCCCTGCGACGCCCGGGGCCCCCCCCCGTCTCACTCCGTGGTGGCGGCGGCGGCGGCGGCGATGGCAGCGGTAGGCGAGATCGGATGGCGACCCGCGTCGCCACCACCACCAGCATCAGCATCAGCACCCCAAGGGGAGGAGCGGCAGAGGGCCCGGCGGTGGTGGCGGTGGCGAGGAGAGAGACGAGCGAGGGGACCGTGGGGAGCGAGGGGAGCGAGGGGACACCCCGAGCCCGGCTGTGCCGAGGCGAGAGGGCGACGAGAGGTGGAGACGCGAGGAGAGGAGGGAGAGCAGCATCGCCGCGCTTCGGGCGCGCGCCGTGGAGCACAGCGCTCGCGTGCAGCGACGCGGAGACGAGGGTGGAGGCGTGGAGAGAGGTGGACGTGGAGTGGACGATCAGGGTGGACGGGGAGAGAGCGGCGGTGGTGGCCCGGGGGATGGTGACGGTGGTGGTGGTGGTGATGATGGCGTTGGTGGTGGTGGAGGAGATGACGATCGGAGTGGGAGAGGAGGGCGAGGAGGGGGTGCCGGTCGACGGGGTGATTATCAGGGCGGACGAGGAGAGAGCGGTGGGAGTGGCCGTGGGGATGGTGAAGCTGGTGGACGAAGGGAGAGCGGTGGTGGTGGTTTACGTGATGATGAGGATGATGATGAGGAGGAGGATGATGATGATCATAGTGGGAGAGGAGACGGTGCGTTTGGTGGACTAGGTGATGAAAATGGGAGACGTGCAGAGAGTGGTGGTGGACTCGGTGATGATCGCGAGGGACGAGGAGAGAGCGATGGTGGTGGCGGTGGTGGACGAGGTGATTATAGTTCGAGAGGGAAACGTGGTGGTGGACCCAGTGGTGGAGATGGAGCACGAGGTGGCGGACGAGTCCATCGTCACGGCGACGAGCGGCAAGAGAGCTTCGCACGAGAGGACGACCGTGGTGGACGTGCGGACAGCGGCGAACGCACCGCACACGCCGGATGCTTGCAAGGGCCTGAGTCTCCCACAGTCAGCCCGGCGTCCGAGGCAAGGGTCGACTCATCTCCGGAGGCGGTCACAGACTCAGCCGTCTCGCCCGGGTCGCGAGTCGAACTCGTGTGAACGAGGTCGGGGGTTGACGTTGGTAGGAACGTTGGACTCGTTTGGGGGGGGGGGGGGTGAGACGAGTGTGATGGTAAGATCGGTGGCATTGTCATTCACAACATCCACGAGTTGTCAATGAAATCGACAACATGAGCGAGAAACAGTCCCGTGCACCGGCACTAACCAATCGATTAATTCGCGAAGTTGTTTGTGTTTATATATGTGTGTGTGTGACGTATCTTATATATATGTGTGTGTGCTGTATTCAGTTCTTTATGTATTATACATATAATATACGTGTGTGTTTAAGACGGCTTGCGGAAGATGTAAACATTGCATTGTGCGTGGAATGTAAGAACACACGTAACATTGTTCATTAATAACGTGATGCCGTTTTATTGTAAAAAGAATAACAATGATAGATTAAATAACAACGTCCTTTATGTAAGGACCAATGAAGAGGCTCACAGAGCATCTCTATGCTCGTTTTCCAAGAGGGGGCCCCCTACCACATTTTGGAGTTTGTCCAACTGCGTTGTTCATGAGCGTCTGGCTTCGTGCGGGAGGAAACCCAACAAAGTCCACCACACACACACAAAGGTGCGGGGGTGGGAGGTGGGGGGGTGATACTCTCAAAAACTCCGCACAGATGCATTCAAGAATCCGCTTGCTCTACTGCCACCGTCTGGCCACCTCGCTGCTCAAGCCTTCGATGTATTGTTGTATTTTCCCAAGGCTGTCTCCCGTGAAAGTATTTGTAGGGTTATTGGTTTTTTTACCCTTCTATCTGGCAACAAAACTGACACCTTTTTACAAGGAGTCATGTTTGCATAGACTGCAATACCTGCAGTCATAATACAAACAAAAGAACATAACTCTGATAATGTGCACTGTCCTTGAAGTTGATTGGTCCACACCCGGGACAGTGCATACATTTTCAGAGTTATGTTCTTTTGTTTGTATTATGACTGCAGGTATTGCGGTCTATGCAAACATGACTCCTTGTAAAAAGGTGTCAGTTTTGTTGCCAGATAAAAGGGTAAAAAAACAATTATCATATTTTTACTGGCAAATGAGGTTCCCATAGTATTTGTAGGGTTGTTAACTTGGATTCAAAGATCGTGCGCTATCAATGGGTGATGTGAGAAAATGTTCTCGAAATTAAGATCACGCGTGATGTTTTGTCGACGGAGTTGATTTTTGTTGTTGTTGTTGTTGTTAATGATATCGTTGTGTTTATCACGTGATTAATCCAGCCATCGTTTTATCGACAACGTCTCTAGCAGCACAGTGCGTGTCGAACAGTGGCTCTTAAACTGGGGTGCACGCACCCCCTGGGGGTGCGAGAGACGTGACCAGATCTTTTTTAAAAAGGTAAATCAGCGAAACACAAATGCAGTAAGGGGCCGTCCCTAAATGACGTCACGCACCTAGGGGGTGGGGGGTCAGACATTTGTGACGATGTGGGGGGAGGGGGGTTGAGAAATGTGACGTTACATCAAAATGCGCAACTTTAAATAAATATAGACAACACGTTCTACTTCATTAAATAGACTTTTTAATAAATATTTTCTCCTACAACATCAGAGTGCAGCGCCACATTAAATACGCACTACAATGACAATAGTTTAAAGATATTTGAAGCATGTTTTATATTTTTGGGGGGGGGCAGAGCTTTGTGACGTCATATTTTAGGGGGGGTCTGACTTTTTGTGACGCCGTGTGACGAAGGGGGGGGGGGGTCAAAAATCGTCCAAAATCGCGTGACGTCATTTATGGACGGCCCTTAAGTACAACTATTTCGTTGCATCAAACATATGTATTCATTAACACCGTGCATTTTTTTGTTTTTGACGATTGCGAACCAAACGGGGTGCAAGGCGGCAGTCCAGGCAGGTGCAGAAGCACTGGTGCAGGATATTCATCAGTGTGTGTGTGTGTGCGAAACGTTGAAGAGAGGTGACGCGGTTTCACTCGCATCCCGTGCGACTGGTAAAATGCCACTCATAATTATAAACCCGGGGTAAGTCTTTCCGGCTGCATGGAGACGTCTTAATCAATTGTTTAATTGTCTCTTTTAATGAGTGCTTTTGACGTCACGCTCTGTGGCAGCGATGTGAAGAATCAGGAGAAAACGAGTGTGCGCGTACATGCGACGGGATGCCACGATGTTGATGCCACGATATAGAGACTAGATCCATGAACGCAACCCACTTTGTGTGGTTTTTTTTGGAGGGAATTTCACAAATCCAAACGAAACCATGTTTTGTTTAACCAGGTAAGGCCCCACTGAGCTGCGTAGTTCTTTTTCGAAAGCGACCTGGCCACAAGTGATAGCTCAACGAAGTGTCGTATCACGTGGCTATTTAGATGCAGCCCTTATACTCTGAACCGCATGTTTTTAAATGTGTAGGGGAAAAAAACGGAAGACCCGGATAAAAATCCACGCGACCACGGGGAGAGAGACACGCAAAGTCCAAATATACAGCAGCAGGCGTCAGGGTCGGGATCGAACCCACGACCTCCTTCATACCAGGCGAGGTAGTTAACATCTCCTAGCCACCGTGATGATGATCAGAGAGAGACACGCAAACTCCAAATATACAGCAACAGGCGTCAAGGTCGGGATCGAACCCACGACCTCCTCCATACCAGGCGAGGTAGTTAACATCTCCCAGCCACCGTGGCGCCCCCTGTATCTCTGGCTGATCCACCAACACTCGCCTCTCTTCATCGCTGGGGTTGCGAGTTGAGACATTTGATACGAAACGCAGACAAACCGGTACATTCCAAGTTGAGCTCATTATGGACAACCCCCGTTTCTTATTTCAATGGATTACGACTTAACGATGGTAATGATATAATGTAATATAATGTATTATCACTGTAAAAGAGCTTCATGGCTCATCGGATTCCTCCAGTATAAATACATATTCTGATTCTGGTGATGATGCTAGAAATGTACAGCCCTGTGGGGACTAGGACCGGTTTCGAGATCACTCGCCACTGATATTCGCCATTGCAGGGAATTCAACTTATCTGGCCAGCTTCATAGTGCCGTGTGCTAATCACTGCGCCACCGCTCCCCTCCACGCTCACTTCTCGCCGCCAATGATCGAAAGATTTTCGCGCCACCCTCGCATCGTTTCACATTCGCATCGTTTCACATTCGCATCGTTTCACATTCGCATCGTTTCACATTCATCCCGTGTCGTGGGTTCCATCGGCCTCAAACGGTAATATTGGCAAAACAATTTGCATACTTCTGTTGAGTAGTAGACGGAGGTACTCGGAGACGGAGATGAGTTAGGGGCTTCCGCCAGGGTTTATTAACACGAATCACTATCCCTGGTTCCCTCTTCACCCCTTCTACTATCCCCGTTCCTCTAGTGACCCCGCTCACGTCACGGGGTCTCCCTTAAATACCCTAGGAGGGGTGACGTCACGTGCGCTGTCCAGCGCGCGCGACCCCACGTCCCGTGATGTCACCGCACCGGACAGCGCACGCGACGCCACCACTCCCCTCCTCTACTCCTCTACATCTCGTAACGTAACTTAGGGTGGCACGCGCACAACATTACGGGATATTTATCGATCGTAATAATCGAGTTTGTGTTTTTCATCGTTAAATCGCGGAATTGTTCCATGCCTCTTTAACTTTGTTACGACACGTGCGGTGATTATTTTAAATCGGCCACAATTGTAAACCAATTACGTTTAATTGCGACAAATGTATTCCGTAAGCCGGAGGGAATTACCGTCGCAGGCGATGATGCCTCTTGCTTGCTCTCTGATATTGTGCATCGCTTACATTTGAAAACAGTTTTCGGAAGAAAAAAACTCACGAGGAGGTATTTACTCTCGGGATACGCCTCGTGTGTGTGTGCGTGTGTGTGTCCATACGTGTGTGTGTGTGGCCGTGTGTGCGTGTGTGTGTGTGGCCGTGTGTGCGCGTGTGTGTGTCCGTGTGAGCGTGCGTGTGTGTGCGTGCGCGTGTACGTGCGTGTGTGTGCGTGCGTGTGTGTGCGTGTGTTCGTGCGTGTGTGTACGTGCGTGTGTGTGCGTGTGTGTGCGTGCATGTGTGTGTGTGTGTACGTCTGTGTGTGCGTGCGTGTGTGTGTGCGTGCGTATGCGTGTGTACGTGTGTGTGCGTGCGTATGTGTGCGTGTGTGTGCGTGCGTGTGCGTGTGTGTGCGTGCGTGTGCGTGTGTGTGCGTGCGTGCGTGTGCGTGTGTGTGCGTGCGTGTGCGTGCGTGTGTGCGTGCACATTCAGTTGGGAGCGGTGGCGCAGCGGTTGGCGCACTCGCCCCGCTCACGGCCGACATAAAACATCGGTGACGAATATCCGCACCCGGTCCCGGGCCTCCTCTCGGGTCGACTCAGCCATAAATGAGTTTCTGTAGTCGCGGTGTGGAGAAAGCGGCGGCGGCGATGGTGGTGGTGGCCGCTGGGGAGACAAAGGCGGCCGCGCGTGGTTTCTGCTCACATCACACGGGGAGGCGGCCTGGGGGGGGAGGGGGTGGAGGGTATCTTTGTCTTTGCATAAAAAACTAATTGTAAGCGCAAGTGTTGCCCGCGAGGTCGTAACCCTCCCTGTAGCCGCACCCGCCGCCAGATGATGACGATTTCGTCGATCGATCGAATGTGGATAATCGAATGTGGATAATCGCTTCGTTGTGTGTCGCCGATGTGATCGTGCCCGGTGTGTTCCGTGCGAGCGCGTCCACTTACCTCCGTGTGACGATGGCACAGCGCTGATGCGCGTCTGACCATGCGCACAGCGAAGTGGAGAAGGCGCGAGGTCGTATTCTATTTTGAACAAAAAATAAAATGTGGAGGCTGGCATTGTGATTGGGCGGTTGGTTGCTGGATGTTGGTTTGAAATTTGTTTTTTTTTTTACGTCTAGAAAAGTTTACTCCAATTGCGCGATTACGGAGGATCCGTTTTGTAACTCTCGCCGCGAGGCATGAGGATAACTGTGAACTTGAGGACGGTTCCGCGGACGGAGATATCGTACAACAAATTTCTGGGATTCATCTTCTTGGTTCTTTCTCGTAAAGTCACGTAGAAGGGAAATAATAAAATACTAAAAATAAAACATAATAAAATACAATTCTCACGCATTGTATTTTATTATCTTTCCGACAGACCTGTTCTTCACCTGAGGACTGTCGCTTGCGTTGTGGCCGAAACGTCGTGAGAATTTATTTTATATTTATTTTTATTATTTTATTACTTCCCTTCTACGTGACTTTACCGAAAGAACCAAGAAGATGAATCCCTGCAGTCACGAAAGCTTTAAATCGAAAAAGTTTCTGAGACTCTCCCTTCGAGTGAACTCTGAGCCGTACGCAAGGGGGGCCGACCCTGCGATATCCCTGTACCAAAATAAGCCTTGAAAAAACACCCCCAAAACCTGCTACACACACGAGATTGGTGCATGGTGGTCAATATTATGATGTATTCAAGATGCGTATCTTCTCCAATGCACATGCCCGTGCCTACTTTCCGTCTCTAAATGCAATTCCCAGCATGCATCTCATCCACGTTCTTATTTACGCACTTTAAAGTTTTTGTTCCACGTGTAGGTGAATGCCCAGGCTTCTAACCCGTGTAATATGTCTAGTGCTGTGCAGGAGGGCCATTGGCCGAAACGTTGCCGACTATATATACAGTGTTTTATTTTAAGGCGATGTAGTCGACGATTTTGTTGCGTTTATAGCTACATCAATATGATAGTCCATAATTTACGATTAATGTAAATTATTTCCTAAGGTGATTACATGGAGGCTAATCAAGGCGACAAACCCATGTCCAGAAAAAAAAACACTTAATAAAATATATCCACGAAACGGTAAAGAAAATTAATGAAACGGAAATAATCGATATTTTTGTCATCGAATCGTGACAATTCGTGGCGACTCCGGAGTTGATAGAGGTTGGTCACATACAGACATAGACCGGAGTTGATATTATTCTAGATTTGAAGCTTTCGTGACTGCAAGGAAACATACTCTTTGGTTTTTTCGGTAAAGTCACGTAGGTAAAAAATAAAATAAATTAAAGCACAACACTTAAGTGTGTCTTTCGCTACGTTGTCCCCACCTGAAGAAGGACGCTTGTGTTGCGTCCGAAACGTCGTGATTCTATTTAGTTGCTTTCATTTATTTTATTTTTTACCTACGTGTCTTTGGAGTTGATAAGAGGTTGGTCACACACAGACATCGACTCGCTCATCCACAGCGCGGCGCTATCCACACGTGTTCGCGACAGACATTCAACCAATTGGACTCGTGAAGTCTCCTAGCTCCACCCACTCTAACACAGCCCCGCCTACTCTAGCATAGCCCCTCCCACTCTGGCTTAGCCCCGCCCACTATAACACAGCCCCACTCACTCTAACCCTAGCCCCGCCCACTCTAGCATAGCCCCTCCCACTCTGGCTTAGCCCCGCCCGCTCTGACTCTAGCCCCGCCTACTCTAACATAGCCCCGCCCACTCTAACCCTAGCCCCGCCCACTCTAACCCTAGCCCCTCCCACTCTGGCTTAGCCCCGCCCACTATAACACAGCCCCACCCACTCTAACCCTAGCCCCGCCCACTCTAGCATAGCCCCTCCCACTCTGGCCCTAGCCCCGCCCACTCTAACCCTAGCCCCGCCTACTCTAGCATAGCCCCGCCCACTCTGGCCCTAGCCCCGCCCACTTTAACCCTAGCCCCGTCTACTCTAGCATAGCCCCTCCCACTCTGGCCCTAGCCCCGCCCACTCTAACCCTAGCCCCGCCTACTCTAGCATAGCCCCGCCCACTCTGGCCCTAGCCCCGCCCACTTTAACCCTAGCCCCGCCTACTCTAGCATAGCCCCTCCCACTCTGGCCCTAGCCCCGCCCACTTTAACCCTAGCCCCGCTTACTCTAGCATAGCCCCGCCCACTCTGGCCCTAGCCCCGCCCACTCTGACCCTAGCCCCGCCCCTTAGAGCCATAGCCCCGCCCATTCCAACTTCGCTCCGCTCACTCGAGCCCGAGCCCGACTCTTAACCTTAGCCAGGCACGCCAGAAGGCAAACAATGAGTTACTAAGGATTGTCTCAATGTAGATTGCACACAAGATACACCTTTGCGTCAGAGTTAGCCTCTCCTCAGCTTTGAATTGCACAATAATAATCATCATGAGTCATGATATATCCACCGCTGGATGAAGGGCCCCCCTCTCCTGGAAGATGTTGATATACCCACACTCTACCCCACCATTTCTACCCCCCCCCCCCCGATTTTACTGCACACAAACACAAACATCTAAACATTCGTCAATAACCGCTGCCTTCAAATGAAAACGTGATACATGTATAATTTCGATTTAAAGCTTTCGTGACTGCAGGGATTCATCTTCTTGGTTCTTTCGGTAAAGTCACGTAGAAGGGAAATAATAAAATGATAAAAATAATAAAAAGAAAACTTAATAAAATAATAATATAATATTATTTTATTATGTTTAATTTATTTTATTTTATTATTTCCCTTCTACGTGACTTTACCGAAAGAATCTGCTTATTCACCAAATGATGTAGCCACGCGGTCTTACCCAATCGTCAGTATCATCAGCAGCCATGTTTAATCCACTGCTGGATGAAGTCTTCCCCACGCCGTGCGTGGAGTGGGGGGGGGGGGATGTTTGACCATATTTCACCACGCTGCCCAGTGCGGCTTGGTGAATGCGGGGGAAGCACAGGGACTGGTTCTGATATCACTGGCCGCTGGTGTCGTGAACCTTGGCGCGGAATCGAACTCGGGTTACGGGGTTTCGTAGCGCAGTGCGCTAGCCACTGCGCCACCGCTCTACCTCGTATAGTACAAGTTAAATAAAAACATAATTTCTTATGCATGTGATCTTAAAAATTATAATCGCTATTAATATATATACCGTATCATCCGGTTTGTAAGACACGCACCTACAATGCTTTATTTGTATAACCCGGGGAGAAGTGCATCTTACGCATCCTATTTAAGCGTGGATGTTTGTGACCAGATTTAAATCGAAAAATAAGCAGATTGTTCAGAGGGGGTGCGGGGTGGATGGAGGCGTGAGGACACGAGAAAAAGGGGGATTCAGAGCGAGGCAGTTCGGGTTGGCGCGTGGTCGAGTTTGACCAAGAGTGGCCTTGCAGGTCACACATCGAAAAGGCCAAAACAAAATATCAAAGTGGTCTTCTTGCTCAAACTAGCGGGTAGCAGTGCAGCCACCTCAGCTGCTTAGATTCCGCTGCCCAGAGCCAGTGGTGGAAATTCCACATTCCTGTAGGGTCGGTGTAAGTGTATTCTTGGAACAAGCAAACGGTTGGCTTCCCCAACACAGTAGTAGCCTATTTTACTGCCCCCCCCCCCTCTCCCAGAGAGGTTATGAACTGAGTGCACTGGTCACGTCGATGTGAAATGCAAACGCGCACACGAAGAAAAAACTACACGGTGGTCACGATGTCGCGTGACCCCCCGTTGATTTCTCTAAAACTGAATCATTATATCCTTTATATTAAGTTCACTTGCTTGCTTGCTTGCGCGCTTACGACCGTGCAAATCTTTCGGTCGTGTTTTAACCCACTTCCCGTGATCCAATCAAGCTGACATTTTGCACACAGACTCGTTGTGCGTGACAATTTATTTTCGTGAAAATGTTACACTTTTTAGGAAAAAATAAATTATATTTAATTACCAATTGCTTAATGGTGGCAGGCAATCATCTGACCCATAGGTGGCAGCCATCTCAAGCCAGAGGACGAGAGGACTCTAGCCGCCACGCATAATAAGGATTTATAGTGAAAAACTTTGTTTTTACGGGTTAATTCTTTTTTTTTCGTATACCAATGGGCGTGTAAAGAAATAGAAATAAGCAAGGGAGAAAATAAAATTTGGGGTCAATTAAAAGGGAGGGGGGGGGAGTCACAAGACACCTGGACCACCCTGTACTTTCAATTTCAACAACAGAAATGGCAAGTGGGCGTGCGACGAATATCCTGAGATGAGGTTAGGGGTTAGGGTCAAGGTCACTGGGTTAGAGGCAGCAGGTGCCACTGGTGATAGCCATATATTCCTGGCCAGCTCGCCAATCAGCCACTCACACCACGAATCATAACCAACTCGTCAAGAAGCTACAAGCCCGATCCTATACCAGCTGTCTAACCAGCTACTAGTACTAGCGCTCACCAATAAGCCAATCAGCCACGAGCATTCGCTCTGCTTCTAATCCTAACCCACTAGTCAACCAGTTACTAGCCCTTTACAACTTTGCGATCAGCTACGCGTACAAACTCTATCCCTAACTAAGTACCCACGATTACTAGCTAACTTCAAACAACTAGCAAAATATAATATAGGTTTTTTTTTGGGTTAGATCGCGTAATAAATATATAAATGTGTCGTTAAACTCGCCACCACCCGACACAGCCAACTAGTAAGGGTTGTCACTTAAACAGAACGTGCCAATTCGTTACCAGTACAGCACTAACCGGTGTGTTGGAGAGCAAATCCACGACATTTACAACATTTTGCGGATGATATTGGTCGCGAAAGCCTACGTGCTAAACTTGCAAAACCATCCACCCATCACCGCCTTTAACTCTACCGCTTTATCTTAACCAACTAGCCAACCAAACAAATCGAACTCGGCCTCCTAAACCCGAACCTCACCCCCCCCCCCACTCCCACCACAGAACTCCACCTGTGACACTGAGCCGGTCCGCCCACCCATTTCGCCTCCTGGTTGGTTTGCAGTCCTCGGCCCGTGTCCGCAGCTCCCGAGTCGAGTTTGTTCAGCTCCGCTGTGTTTACCTTTCCCCCCTTTTCCGCACGTCCATTAGGCACTGTCCCAACACTCAGCAGCCGCCACGAGCATCGCTTTCACTCTCACTCGCCTGCCTGCCTGCCTGTACCCCCCTCACCCTCCCCCCGACGTTCGCCCCATCCACGACCCAAACCATAAAACCAAAAATCAAACAAATAGTTTGGTGCGGTGGTCACGATCGGGTTTGCGTGATACAAATTGTAAAAGAAAAAAAAACATGTTGGGGCGCGTCTTAGCAAGGAGCCATATCTTCGAAACGAGAGGCGCCTTGCTCCCGAACATCTGGCTGTTGATTCCGGCGAGCCTGGCTCTGCCGATGAGACACCGTGCGTCGAAACCGGTGCGGAGGTTTGCTTTGGTATTGAATCGGGACCGCCGTTGGGTTGCGTAAGCAACACGTGGAAGGGTTTCACGTGGAGAGGCGCGGATCGGTGTACGACGGAGGTGACACGTGGTGTTTGCGTATGCCGGTCTCGCTAGCCTTGGCTGGTTTCACAGGTAAGGGACGCTGACTCAGGTGGCACGGAAGAGGCGAGGTGCACACGCACTTGACGTTATCAGGAACGCTGATTGCCAAGCCGCCTTGGAGTAGGGATTATTCGGCGTAAGGCGCTACGCACGCCGATCTATAATAAGAATAAAACAAGTATGGCCATTGTTCCAATTCCATCTGATTTAAATGACACGTACGTGTACAGCCCGTATTGGTCAATCCACTGCTGGATGTAGAGCCACACCACGCCTTGCGTACTTTGACCATACTTCACCGCGGTGGTCAATACGGATTGAAGGTGGGAGGAGTGCAGAGGCACAATGGATGTTGCTGCCCTGTCCTCTATTACCCACAACGCCGATAGCACCTGTGATGCATGGAGGTCACCCATCCATGCGCGACCCAGGCTCACCCCCGCTTAGCTTCCGGGGTGTGTGGCGGCATCGGGCGCATTCCGAGCGATGTGGTCACGTGAGTTAATTCGCGTAATTTAATAGCAGTTGTAATTCGCAATCGGTATCTCACTCGCACATCTCAAAAAAAAAAACAAATTGGCAATTTGCATCTGCCGCACATTAACCGCGCCGATTTGCCCATCGTCCCGAACCCAAGCGGTGATTTAAATCAATGGGACAAATCTTCAGCGGCGTCCGCTCGAGTCGATCTCCCTCAAGAGAGGACAGGCAGCAATGTCCACATCATCAGCCTGTCGCATCGAGCGCCCTTGGGACCCGGTGAACCTGAAGAAGCAAGCAGATTAATCCGTATTATTGTCATCGTCGTCGTCCTCTTCATCTTCATAAGCCAGGATCCACTGCTGGTTGAATACCTCATCAAAACCGTCGCCATCTCTCAGCGTCTCGCAATGCAACAATCGCACTTGGCTCCTAGGTGGCTTTTGAAATATCGAAGTTTTTTTTTTTACCGAATTTGAACAAAAAATGGCTCTTCCTTTTATTTTGGTTTCCGAGTCCCGTGAAGTAGAAGGTGCTCGAAAGGGAGCCCCTCAACGGGAAATGTTGTGCCTACCCCTCCTCCACGATGACTTTTCGGAACGAATAAGAGTTCCCCACACTCTACCTGCACCACTCTCACCTGCATCGACTGCTGGGCGCACAGCGACGGCGGCAGGGGGCGGTGGGCCGAGGGGGCATTTTAAGAAAAGTGCCACCGTTGGTTCAACTGCCGCGCCGAGAGATAGTAAACTGGGGCCGCGTTAGGGGAAGGGAAGAATACGACGCGGAGCGATTGCCAATAGTTTTTTTTTTGCTCAGAGGTCATGCCGCAACTCCGAGGGTGTTGCAAAAGGTCCGAGCGAGATCGCGTGCGATGAGCAGATACGGCACCGCTGCCTCGCGCGGCCTGTCCCCTTTGTTGAGCCTCAGCGCGAGAAGGAACCTCCGTCCGTTGGGGTCGAATCCGGCCACGTGTTGGCAGCTCTCGCCTGCGCCAGATGCGCTCCCCGTGCGCGCGGCTGCCCTGGCCTCACGTCTCTGGGCCAAACTGCTGCGAGGCAGTACGTGGCACGCGACGCGAAATGCGCCCCGCACCCTCCCCCCACCGGCCTGTTGCAGAAACGGCAAAAGGTTCAAGTTTACGCGAGTTCACTCTTTTGCATTCGTCAAAGAGAACATTCGATAGATTTTCAGAAAGATTTTTTTTTAATCTATAAGTTGCTATAGGATGAGTCGTGGCGCAGTGGTTAGCGCAACTGCACCATGCCACCCGAGCCGGCTCCATGAGTTTCATTTTTGGCCGCGGCTAACAGCGGTAGGGAATGGCTATCGGAACCGGTCCTAGGGTCTCGTCTAGGTCGACTCAACCACAAATGAGCACCCGATACGGTGTGCAAACATCAGCACTGGGGAGAGAAAGGCGGCCGGGTGTAGTGCAGTCTCGTACTGCGTGCCGACCTTCATAGGTGCTCGTTTGCAACACTCGTTCCAATGCAATGCGCACTGCTAAACAAATATATGCACACGAGTTCCAACTCTGTAGCAATGGCTCAGTACATAAAGCAAAGACGAAGATTCCCCGTATAAGCTTAGCAGACTTTTGGGGCAAGTTCTGTTCGCGAGCAGCTATGGAGGCCCGGAACGGCACGCGAGAGGGCGTGTGGATTGCCAGCACCACGCTCGGCCGTCTTTGTCTCTCTAAATGGCAATGCGGGGAAGCTCAGGACCGATGAATGAAATCGTCACTGGTGTTGGCCGTTGGGCGGCAATCGAATTCGGGTGGCCGGAATTCGTAGCGCAGCGCTGCTAACCGCTCCGCCACCGCTCCCGAGTTTTGCATTATACCAACACAGCCGCCGTTCGCCACTCAGTGACGGTGACGTCACCACGGCGCCGGTGCCAGGCCAGGTGCACTTTGAGGCCACGTGAAGTGTCGAAGGCTCGCTGACAGGAGGACTAGGGACAGATCCAGAAGGTGCCATGGGTTGGCTGACTAAGATGACCGGTAGATGCACCACCTTGTGCCCCCTACTGTGCCAACGTGCTGTGTTTTATCCACCCGGGCGCTCCGCTCGTTGTTGTGAGCGTCGCTCCTCTGCCCTTCGTTACTGCTGGAGGTCGACTGCCTCCAACTGCACAGTAGCAGCGTCCTTCACGAGCCTCCTTCACAGAGGCCGATCTTGACGCCGCTGGTTACCAGTCGGCAAGTCCACTCGGCTCCACATCCTCCCGTACCGCATCAGCTCCATCTCTTCCCCAGCCCGTGTATTATAACCACCGAGCACACGCGCACCACGCTCACTGCCTGCGTTACTGCTCCCTCCAATCAAGCGGACGCTTGGCTGCCGAGCGTGGTCGACTCGAGCCGTGACCGCGGCTGCAAACGATTCACCAAGGGTCGTCATGGCGCTGGATAAACACCCCTGTAGCCTAAGGGAAGGCGGGGGGGGTGCTTTCCTGCAAATGATTGTGGAAGTAAAACGCCGGGCTCGATTAATTCACGAGAGAAAGTTGAGATGACCCCCCCCCCCTCCCGCACACACACACGCGCGCAGAGAAAGATAACAATTCTATTAAGCAACTTTGTTACTGGAAGGGAAAAGGGAAGTTTGGCTGGAGCCAGGACACGGTCCCTGCAAAGGGTGATGGATGATGGGGTGGGCGGCCGAAACGAGCAGGCACAAGGGACCGTGGAGATATGACGGAGGCTCGGTGTGGTGGTGTTCATCCAGCGGTGGACGGAGCATGGCTTAAGGTGATGATGATGATTATGATGATTATGAAAACACACCCAGAGCAGTATAGTCGTTTATTTTTTTTATTTGTGCAAAGGAGAAATTAGTTGAGATGAAAATGCAACGAGTGTGAACACTGCGTGGTTTGTAGTTTGCACGTGGCAAGCAAAATCGGCCGTGGATGAGCGACGATGATGATAGCGATTGTTGGCAATGAAGATGAAGATCGCTGTTGACGAATTAACATCGTTGTTAGTTTTGTTCCTTGCCAATGGCAATACGGTTCAGGAGCTAAATGCGAATGTCGTGGTCTGCGTGGCACGAGCGTACTCCGGCAGGGAGTTAGTGGAGTTTTTCACGCCCGCAAACTCTGCGGCCCAGCAATGGAATTTCCATGGGGGGGGGGGGGTTTGGTCTTCGAGTTTCAATTTCTTGAAGGAGATGCGTACAGCGGCGGCCTGTTGATGTTCTGATGAATAATGACGATTAATGATCGATGACAATGAGAAATATAATGATGTATGACGGTTATTGATGCTAATCAGATTGCGACAACCGTGCAAGCCTCGTCTCTGAAAGAGCAAACCCAACGTTGTCCGCAAGTAACCCACTCATAGCGCCCCCTTTGAAGTGGAGCTCACTCAAACTCGGGCCTCTCGAACTGGGGAGGGGGGGTTATCCCCTCTTCGAATCCCTCCACGTAACAAGACCCTCCTTGTCAAGCACCGTGGCCTGAAGCACCACCTCCTCCCACCAACCCCTGAACGTGAGCTCCACCCTTGCACCCACACCACCACCACCATTATCTCCATCCAGCCACTCATCCCTACCCAACACCCGCACCCACTCGCACGACCCGCAGCAAAATATTTCCTGGAGGCGGAGACTCGGCGCAAGAGCTTAAATTGCGCGTTCACACCCCGACTCTCCCGCGGTGAGCTTCTCTCCTCCACACACACAACACAGACACGCGCGCACTTAACACACCCGCACACTCAGCCACGCAAAGAGTTTAAACAGGCAGACACACACACCACACACGCGCGTGTGCTAGACATGGCAACTGCAGTGGTGTACGGATGGCTGGGAGGCCGGGCGATGCTGCGTCTGCCACGCGGCGTCTGCGTGTCGGTGCGCGGGCTGGCGAGCGGCAGCGGTCCCATCGCGGACCGGCCGTACGCCGAGCTCAAGGACATGGCCCTGAACCAGCCAGATGCCTTCTGGGGCCAGGCGGCCAAGGAACGCCTGCGCTGGGAGCGCGCCTTCAACAAGGTGCGCGATTGCGACATGGACGCGGGCCGCATTTCGTGGTTCACCGGCGGTAACATCAACGTGAGCGGTGAGGACCCCCCCCCCCACATACACACATACACAGCCAGCGCCGCGTGACACTCACTCGCTCCTGCACTCACCCGCTCGCCCACTCACTCACTATTGCACTCATTCGCTCTTGCACTCACCCGCTCCTGCACTCACACTCACTCTGCACTCACACTCACTCTGCACTCACACTCACTCTGCACTCACTCACACTCACTCTGCACTCACGCTCACTCTGCACTCTCTGCACTCACGCTCACTCTGAACTCACGCTCACTCTGCACTCACGCTCACTCTGCACTCTCTGCACTCACGCTCACTCTGCACTCACTCTGCACTCACACTCACTCTGCACTCTCTGCACTCACGCTCACTCTGCACTCACACTCACTCTGCACTCTCTGCACTCACGCTCACTCTGCACTCACTCTGCACTCACACTCACTCTGCACTCACACTCACTCTGCACTCACACTCACTCTGCACTCACGCTCACTCTGCACTCACTCTGCACTCACACTCACTCTGCACTCACACTCACTCTGCACTCACGCTCACTCTGCACTCACTCTGCACTCACTCTGCACTCACGCTCACTCTGCACTCACACTCACTCTGCACTCACTCACACTCACTCTGCACTCACTCACACTCATTCTGCACTCACTCTGCACTCACTCACTCACTCTGCACTCACACTCACTCTGCACTCACGCTCACTCTGCACTCACTCTGCACTCACACTCACTCTGCACTCACACTCACTCTGCACTCACGCTCACTCTGCACTCACTCTGCACTCACTCTGCACTCACGCTCACTCTGCACTCACACTCACTCTGCACTCACTCACACTCACTCTGCACTCACTCACACTCATTCTGCACTCACTCTGCACTCACTCACTCACACTCACTCTGCACTCGCACTCACACTCACTCACCCGCTCGCTCGCTCTGTGCGTGTGTGTGTGGGTGGGTGCCAGTGCGTGTGTGTGTGTGTGCAACGCGTAGCGCGTCACTCATTCAATCCACTCACCGATTCGCTTACCCGCTCACTCACTCGCTCACGTATGCACCCACTCTGTGAGGGTGGGTACCTGTGTGTGGCCATGCAACCCAAACGGTGGGCCACTGTAGTCTGCGTTCCTTCAACGGAGAAGAAACAGCAACATTCACAAAGCCCTCTTCGTCGTGGTTAGCAGACCTCGCAACATTGGCAATTAGCTCCTGAACCACATTGCTGCCATACGCAAGCATACAATCCACTAACCCCATCCACACTCTGTGCGCGTGTGAGTGGGTGCATGGCACTTCTCAACACGAGTGTGAACGGCTCCTGGGCCTCCCGTAGGTCGAATTGGTCTCAAACGAGTTACCTGCTGCGGTGTGCATGATGTCTACCCCCTCGAGTGCCCTCTAACCCCCCGCCCCCACACGTGTTCCGCGTGCCGGCCTTCATAGGTGCTCGCGAACATCAAACTTGTCCCAAAATCCTGTCGAGGCTACAAGGGTGCTCTTTGTCTTTGTGTACGACACTTGCGCCAAGAGGCTGTTTTAGGATACACCGAGGAGCTTTGGCTGTTGTGCGTGGGAGTTTGTGTGTGTGTTTAGCTGTCAACGTGTGTACGTACGTATGTGTGTGTGTCTGTGTGTAGGGACACTTGCCCCAACAGCAGTTGAAGGCTATACGGAGGTTCTCTTTTTGTGTGTGTGGGTGTGTCTCTTTTTGTCTTCATATGATTGGGTGTTGATTGGGTGGGTGTGTGCGAATGCGCGTGTGTGTGTGGAAAGGTGTGTCTGTGTGTGTGTGTAGATAGGTGTGTCTGTGTGTGTGTGGATAGGTGTGTCTGTGTGTGTGTGTGGATAGGTGTGTCTGTCTGTGCGTGTGTGTGTGGATAGGTGTGTCTGTGTTTGTAATGGGGAGCGGTAGTGTCGTGCTTAGCGCGCTACGAACCCAGCGACCCCAGTTCGATTCCCGCTCACGGCCAACACAAGTGACGATGATCTGAACCGGTCAGGGGCCTCCCCTAGGTCGACTCAGCCTCAAATGAGTACCTGGTGAGGTGTGTCAATATCGCCACTGGGGAGACAAAGGCGGCCCGGCGTGGTGTTGGCCACCCACCCCCTCGTGTGCCGTTCCGGCCTTCATAGGTGGTCTTGGACTTGCCCCGACAGTATCCAGGCAATACGGGAGACCTTTGTCTTTGTATGCAACTGTGTTTAAGTGTAAAGGTAAAGGTGCAGTCCTGCAATTGCTTGCTCACGCCACTGCTGGCAGAAGGGCTCCCGCGGACGAGCTCCAGAGAGCCCCTCTAGGAGGTAATTGGCATACTCTTCCACGGCGACCAGACGTCTTGGAAGGGGTTGCAGTACCCACACTTTACCCCAACCACGTGCGATCTGCCGATCGACTAAAAGTGGTAAAATCATGAGCACCTGTTGGGTGAATAGTGGCAGAGATGCGTGTGAGTTTGTGTCAACGTTTACACAAAAGACAAAGGTTCCGTGTAGCCCTTGGCAGGCTGTTAGGCCAAGTGATTTTAGCAAACAAAGACAAAGATCCCCCATATACCCTTAACAGACTTTTGGGGCAAGTGCTGTTAGCGAGCACCTATGAAGGCCAGAACGGCACACGAGGGGGTGGGTGACCAGCACCACGCCCGACCGCCTTTGTCTCCCCAATGGCGATGTTTACTACACACTGCACCAGGCACTCATTTGAGGCTGAGTCGACCTCTGGGAGGGCCAGGACCAGCTCAAGATAATCGTCACTGGTGTTGGCCGTGAGCGGGAATCGAACTCGGGTAGCCAGGTTCGTAGCGCAGCGCGCTCACCGCTGCACCACCGCTCCCCAATGTACATACATACACATACAGAAAAAAAAACACGCGCACACACACACAACACACAAGAGTCAACGAACACACGCGCGCGTGCTAGTCGGAGTGTTTACAGCACAGAGAGCGGCGCTGTCACACGCGCGAACGCACGCGCGCGCGTTCGCGTGACGAGGAGGAGGAGGGCTTTCAAGCGAAGCGTTACCGGGGGAGCAGTGAAGTTGGTGGCGGTGGAGGAGCTGGTTCCTGCAGCTCGCCCCCCCCCCCGCCCCCACCGCACCCCCATGGTCGACTCAGTCGTGCACGTTGAACTTCTTTCGCACCGTACGTAGCCAACCGCGCTGCTTAATCGGTGGTGTCTTAAACTGTAACACTGCGTCATTAACACAATCGGCGGTAGCCACGATCAATCCACTGCTGGACCAAGGCCTCTCGCGAGCCTGAGATGCGGCGGTGTGAAAATTAAAGGCGCAGCCCTGCAACTGCTCGCTCACGCCGCTGCTGGCCGAAAAAGGCCTCCACTAGGAGCCTCCCCCCCCCCGACCCCTTCCCCTCCCCCAGAGGGTGTTTTGGTCTACTCTTCCACAATGGCCAGATGTCTCGGAAGAGGTGGGAGTAGAACCACACTTTACCCCACTATACGTGCGACCTTGTCTTGTCAACTAACTGTTGCGTACCCACAATGCATGCTGCTGCGTGGACGTGAATATTAACACCGGGGAGACAAAGGCGGTCGCGCGTGTCGGCCGAGTGTGCAATAGGTGCTCGCTAATGAACGCCACTTTGCCCAGTGGTGATGTTTACCAAGGCTGGGAGTGGGAAGTGGATTGAATGAAGTTGGGTCATTGGGTTTAACATGACCCAGTCACGTGCTTGTGCAGCCGGGAGAGACGGCGTGATCAACCGATCTTAATTCTTAAATAAGCAAACAATTTAGCGGCGCACAAGAGACCGCTCTTAAACACACGCAACTCGACACAATCGTCATTGACGCTGCGGCCTTGAATAACACACATGTAACAGGCAACGTTTCGGCCAATGACCCTTCCTCATAGCCCCCTATGTGACCGCCTTGTCGCAAGACGGGCTTGCGGTACAATGGGATGAAAGCGCTGCGCCGAATTGGAGCGGGGTGGGGATGTCAACTTGCCGTTCTCCAGACAGCCGCATGGACAGATCCTGAATATTACCCGTTCGTTACCGATGAATGCATGCCATCAAAAGTGGATAATATAATAATATACATAATCAACGTTTTTGGGTTTAGATCGCGTTATTTATAAATGTGTCGTAACCCTCCACCACCCGACACGGCCAATCAGTAAAAAAGTGTCGTCACGTTGACAAAAGACAAATAGTTCACTGCTTTAGCCCACCGGTGTGTTGAAGCGTGAAACCACAACATTTACAATTTTTCAGTACGACGTTTCGCTGGTAATTGCATCCAGCATCATCGGGCAATTCACTGATTATGAATAATATTGGTCGCGAAAGCCTACGTGTTAAACCAATAATAATATACAGTAATGACATTATAATATACTGTAATAATATAATACACAGTCATAATATAATAAACAGTAATAATATACAGTAAAGAATATAAAATACAGTAATAGTATAATAATAATAATGTACCATAAATGCAATTGCTTACACTGGAAGCAGAAACCACAACGTCTAAAAGTACTGCACACCAATAAATACAACAAACACGACACGTTCATTATTCAAGCGCCTCTTTAATAGTGGGAATGTGGACGGGAGCAATCAATCGTGGTTGTACCATAGGAATGTGGAATTTCCTACACTGGCTCTGCAGTGCTGTAAACAGGGTGGGGGGGGGTGTGATGAACAGCACCAAATTGCCTCAATGCGTCCATTGCAGCGGCAGGAATTTTCGCTTGGGGACTTTCTTTTTGTACGTGAGGGCACCAATCTCGAGGAGCGGGGGGGGGGGGACTCAGTGGGGTCTCCAAGGAATTAATGAATGAATGAATGTCCCAAATCAACGCGACTTTTGTCCACACAGGCGAGTGTGGCAGCTCGGGCAGGAAACATTCAAATTGGTGTGTGGATTTACGCTCGCAACTCGCACCGCGAGCTCCTTTAAGGGATGTCGGTGGTGGCGGTGGTGGCGATGATCGTGGTGGTTGTGGTGGTGGTGGTGGTGGCGATGATCGTGGTGGTTGTAGCGGTGGTGGTGGTGGTGGCGATGATCGTGGTGGTTGTGGTGGTGGTGGTGGTGGCGATGATCGTGGTGGTTGTAGCGGTGGTGGTGGTGGTGGCGATGATCGTGGTGGTTGTGGCGGTGGTGGTGGAGGTGATGATGATGGTGGCGGTGGTGGTGGCGGTGGTTCATTGCAAGCGCTCCGGTTGAGAGATGAGCGTGGGAGAGGAACAGCTGAAGACGTTCACGGCCACAAATTGGACACATATATTTTTAATATCCAGCACAGTACTGTTTACGCACATACCGCACAGCATATCGAAGGGGAGGGGAGCGGTGGCGCAACGGTTAGCGCCCTACGCTCCGAACCCCGGCGGCCCAGAGTTCGATCTACGGCCACCGCTGACGTCAGTGGCGAGTGAACGATGAACCGGGTCCGGTCCACACTACTCGCCCACCTCTGATTTAGCGCGTTTGGCTACGTACGGTGCGAAAGAAGTCAACACACACACACCTCATCTCCCACGCTCCCACATCTCACCAAGAAGCCCCACGATCGACCCGGCCAACCCCACGCCGTGTTTCTCACGGGGTCGGTGTTGTTGACCGTACTTCACCACTGCTGGTCAATTGCGAGTTGGCGCAGCGGGGTGCTGTGAGGGCCAGGACTGGTTCGGGAACACTCCGCCGCTGATGGACGTGCGTGTATTGAATTTATTTAGCGCCGTACGTAGCCGTGTCCCGCAATGGACCAACCCCCTCTCTCCCCGCCCAGGGGATTGAGTTCATGGTGCAGGGGGCGCCAACCACTGCACCACCGCTCCTGCCCTGGCATTTGTGGCCAAATCCTATTTTCAATGAATTTCTGTTTCCCGTGGGAGGAAGTTGCACCCCCAACTCCGTGCACAGACTGTGTCTCCTTCACAGACTTGCTGTGTTTGCCTTGTCTGAGTAAGTACAGGACTACATTTGCAATGTGCAACATCTTATCTTAAACAGATGTATTTAGCGCCTTAATCCGTGGCGCTTTACAACAACTATAAAAGTGGTGGTGTGATTACGGTGACAGGAGAACAGGTGGGAGTGGTTAAGGAGTGGTGAAAGTTCCACATTCCTATGACGGGGGCGGGGGGGGGTCTCTCCATTGAACAGCAACCGCCGTTCACTTATCCACAAAGTGGTGCTTATTTTAGCGACCCCCCCCCCCCCGGAGAGATGATGGCCTGGGTCAACCCCCAACGCAGCATTTGAAATGTCACCCTTCCGACCGCGAGCCGCTCTCTCCACTCACCAATCCATCTGGCCGGTCGCTGTTGGTCGCTTGACATCGTCCAGAGAGATGCGAGCCGACAGGTCTGTGCACCTGGAACTTGCACTGCGAGTCGTGACAGGTCCTAGGACGGTGTCCCGACGCCTCAAGCTGATTGATGTGCGCGCTCGCCAGCGTGTCCACGTGTGTCTCCACGCGACTCTCCACGTGTGTCTCCAGTGACGCCACCGTGTCTCCCTCGTGTCTCCATGTTACTCCCCCGTGCCTCACCATGTGTATGCCCCATGTTCCTCCCACGTGTCTCCCGATGAGTTTACCACGTGTCCTTCCTCATGTTACTCCCCCATGCCTCACCATGTGTATGCCCCTTGTTCCTCCCACGTGTCTCCGTGTGGTGGTGTAGTGGTTAGCGCTACGCTGCACTACGAACCTGGCGGACCCGACTTTGATTCCCGCTCACAGCCAACACCCGTGACGATTATCTGAACCGGTCCTGGGCCTCCTCCCCTAGGTCGATTCGGCCTCAAATGAGTTCCTAGTGCGGTGTGTAAACATCGCCACGAGGGAGACAAAGTCAGCCGGGCGTGGTGCTGGTCACATCTCCCCCTCGTGTCGGCCTTGATAGGTGCTCGCTAACAGCACTTGCCGCAAAGGTCCGTGTGTGTCCCTCGTGTGTGTGTGTCTCCACGTGTCTGACCCTGTGTTCCGCGCTCGTGTGGTCCCTCTGATAGTGAACTGCCTGGACCGGCACGCGGAGCGGACTCCGAACAAGGTGGCGCTCCTGTGGGAGAAGGACACGCCCGGGACCCACGAGAAGATCACCTACAAGTGAGAGGCCTACACCCCACCGTGGTCACACCGCCACCTACACCCCACCGTGGTCACACCGTCACCTACACCCCACCGTAGTCACACCGTCACCTACACCCCACCGTGGTCACACCACCACCTACACCCCACCGTAGTCACACCGTCACCTACACCCCACCGTGGTCACACCACCACCTACACCCCACCGTGGTCACACCGCCACCTACACCCCACCGTGGTCACACCGTCACCTACACCCCACCGTGGTCACACCACCACCTACACCCCACCGTGGTCACACCGCCACCTACACCCCACCGTAGTCACACCGTCACCTACACCCCACCGTGGTCACACCACCACCTACACCCCACCGTGGTCACACCACCACCTACACCCCACCGTGGTCACACCGTCACCTACACCCCACCGTGGTCACACCGCCACCTACACCCCACCGTGGTCACACCGTCACCTACACCCCACCGTGATCACACCGCCACCTACACCCCCCCGTGGTCACACCGCCACCTACACCCCCCCGTGGTCACACCACCACCTACACGCCACCGTGGTCACACCGCTGTCACCTACACCCCACCATAGTCACACCGTCACCTACACCCCACCGTGGTCACACCGTCACCTACACCCCACCGTGGTCACACCGCCACCTACACCCCACCGTGGTCACACCGTCACCTACACCCCACCGTGATCACACCGCCACCTACACCCCACCGTGGTCACACCGCCACCTACACCCCACCGTGATCACACCGTCACCTACACCCCCCCGTGGTCACACCGCCACCTACACCCCCCCGTGGTCACACCGCCACCTACACCCCACCGTGGTCACACCGCCACCTACACCCCCCCGTGGTCACACCGCCACCTACACCCCCCCGTGGTCACACCGCCACCTACACCCCACCGTGGTCACACCACCACCTACACCCCCCCGTGGTCACACCGCCACCTACACCCCACCGTGGTCACACCGCCACCTACACCCCCCCGTGGTCACACCGCTGCCACCTACACCTCACCGTGGTCACACCACCACCTACACCCCACCGTGGTCACACCACCACCTACACCCCACCGTGGTCACACCGCCACCTACACCCCACCGTGGTCACACCGCCACCTACACCCCCCCGTGGTCACACCGTCACCTACACCCCACCGTGATCACACCGCCACCTACACCCCCCCGTGGTCACACCGCCACCTACACCCCCCCGTGGTCACACCGCCACCTACACCCCACCATGGTCACACCACCACCTACACCCCACCATGGTCACACCGCTGCCACCTACACCTCACCGTGATCACACCGCCTCCTTTCAAATGTGCTGATGTGATGTGAAGTTCTCTGAGCCGCCAAAGCATTTAGGAGGAGAAGCAACTTTATAAAAAATAATTCCCGTTATTTCAATGGCTGCTCTTGCTACTACGTGTCTCTATAAAACATCTATTTGGCGATGCTGCTGCGTTGGCAGTGGCGCACAAACGACTGAACACAAGGCAACATATTCCGTGAAAATAACAGCGCTGTGCGTGGCCTTTAAAGGAAAACGAACACAAAGCAGGCGACGTTTGGCGCAACGGCTCTTCATCACCGTGCCTGACAGCAGTTTATCTGACGTTCTTGCTGCTGCTGATGGTGCTGATTAATGATGATGATAATGACGATGACGGCAATGATTACGATGATGATGACGACTGATAACGATGATGATGACGATGATAATGATGACGACGGCAACGATTATGACGATGATGACAATGATGGCGATGATGATGATGACGACGACGAGGACGGCAATCACTATGACGATGATGACAATGACAATTATGACGACGACGGCAATGACTGACGACAATGATGACAATTATGACGATGATGATGATGATGACGACGGCAATGACTGACGACGACGACGACGACGATGACGACGACGACGACAACGCTAACGACGACGCCGCCGCCCGCGTGTCCTCAGGGAGCTGCTGGAGCTCACCTGCCGCATGGCGAACGCGATGCGCTCGCGCGGCGTGAAGAAGGGCGACCGCGTCGCCATCTACCTTCCCGTCCAACCCCATCGCCGTCGCCTCCATGCTGGCCTGCGCCCGCATCGGCGCCGTGCACACCGTCGTGTTCGCCGGCTTCAGCGCCGAGGCGCTCGCCGACCGCATCCGCAACGGTGAGACTCGCGCGCGCGCGCGCGCGCGCGCACGGGCGCTCGGCCCGTCGGTCGAACGCACCGTGACGCACGTACGTAGGCACGAACTTCTTTCGGAAGCCGTACGTAGCCGGCCGTACTGACCGTGCGGGTGATTACGCAACGGAGGACCGCAGAGCACGGGCAATTGTTGGTAGCGCCAGTTCGTCTGTGGCTCCTCGACGCGCCACTGAGCCCTCTAAACTTAACATCATCTGGACGACGCATCCCGGCGGTGGCGGTGGCGGTGGCGGGTGGAGGCATTCGCCCAGCAGCGGTAGACGGATCGCGGCCAACACCCAGTCGATCGTCTCTCTGCAGCGAACTGCGAGACGGTGATCACGGCGGTGGGCAGCGACCGCGGCGGCAGGCGGGTGGAGCTGAAGGGGTTGGTGGACGAGGCGGTGCGAGCGTCGCCCTGCGTCAAGCGCGTCTTCCTGGCCGGCGGCGACGAGGCGAAGAAGCGCGCGGGGCCCCTGGACATTCCCCTGGAGGAGGTGAGCGAGCGGGCCCCTCTGCGGCGGCCTCGTGACTCGTCACGGGTCGTTCTGTGACGTCGGTGGCGTGCCCGAAGACGACAGATCCGTGGTGGGGTGGGGGGGGGATCGTCTCACAAAGCAGAGTACTGCTCGGGGAGACGCGACCGCCACCCGACACTTACAAACACCGCCTGACAGACACCCACCCACACCACCTGGCAGGCACCACACCACCCACCACGTGTCACAACCACCAAGCTGCAGGCAACACAACGACCGAACCACCACGTGACACCGACCACCTCGCTGTCACTTTCACTGTTGGCTTCGTTGTTGTTGTTGTACTTATCTTCAACTTTTGATGTTGTTCATCATCATCATCATTGTCAAAATCTTCACTGTTAATCATCACCGTTGTCCTGGTAACCACCCTCATTATCATTGTTATCATAATCTTTGTTGTCTTTATCATCATCCTCATTGTAACCCACCATCTTCATCAAAATCACCATCACCACCATCATCACCATTGTTGTAACCGCCATTATCTTCATCATCATCACTGTAACCATCATCATCGTCATCATCGTTGTAACCAACATCACCACCATCATCGCCATCGTCAGTTGTAACCACCACCATCACCATCATCATCACCGTCGTCATCGTCATTGTAACCACCACCATCATCATCACCGTCACCATCGTCATTGTCGTTGTAACCATCATCGTCATCACCGTCATCATCGTTGTAACCACTACCATCACCATCGTCATTGTAACCACTACCGTCACCATCGTCGTTGTAACCACCACCATGATCATCACCGTCACCATCGTCATCGTCGTTGTAACAACCACCACCACCATCATCATCATCACCGTCACCGCCACCATCGTCGTTGTAAACACCATCAACCGTGCTCACCATCGCGTTGTTGTGTCGCACGGACAGGACCTGGCGAAGCAGAAGACGTCGTGCGCGCCGGAGGTGATGGACAGCGAGGACCCCCTCTTCCTGCTCTACACCTCGGGCAGCACGGGGAAGCCCAAGGGCCTGGTGCACACGCAGGCCGGCTACCTCCTCTACGCGTCGCTCACCCACCAGGTGGGCGCTGACACCCAGCCGCTTGCGCTCCTCGCTCGACGTTGCGTCCGGGCCGCTGGCTCGGCCGCGGTAGGCGGCACGCGGCTGGCGGTTGAGCACAGTCGTAGCAAGAGGTATGCTGGACGTGGTGCGCCGGGCGTGAAAAATGTTCTCGCTGCTGGTTGTCCACGCTATAAAAACAGCGTGATTGGGGGGGGGGGGGGTGAAGAGAAAAACTACAGCAAAGTGATTTAATAATCCAGAATGTGCCGAATCAAGCCGAGCAAATTTCAGCCTGGATAGAGCTATGCCTGGTGGGGGGTGGGGGGCAGGGGGTGCGGGAGACGTGGGTTGAAGGGATCGGTGGATGAATCCTTGCCATGTCCCCCTCCGTCACCTCTTTCCCGTGCCCCCTCCCCGCACCGCCCCCGGCCCAGTTCGTGTTTGACCACCGTGAGGGTGACGTGTTCGGCTGCGTCGCGGACATCGGCTGGATCACGGGGCACAGCTACGTGGTGTACGGACCCCTGTGCAACGGGGCGACCACCGTGCTGTTTGAGAGCACGCCCGTGTACCCCGACCCCGGTGAGTTCCACCCTCCTGACCTCGTGAACTCCTGACCTCCCACCCGCCTGACCTCATGAACTCCTGACCTCCCACCCTCTTGACTTCCCACCCGCCTGACCTCATGAACTCCTGACCTCCCACCCTCCTGATCTCTCACCCTCCTGACCTCGTGAACTCCTGACCTCCCACCCGCCTGACCTCATGAACTCCTGACCTCCCACCCTCCTGACTTCCCACCTGCCTGACCTCATGAACTCCTGACCTCTCACCCTCCTGACCTTCCACCCTCCTGACCTTCCACCCTCCTGACCTCATGAACTCCTGACCTCCCACCCTCCTGACCTCTCACCCTCCTGACCTCATGAACTCCTGACCTCCCACCCTCCTGACTTCCCACCCGCCTGACCTGATGAACTCCTGACCTCTCACCCTCCTGACCTCCCACCCTCCTGACTACCCACCCTTCTAACCTCCTGACCTACTGATCTCCTCCCACCCTCCTGACCTCACGAACTCCTGACCTCTCACCCTCCTGACCTCCCACCCTCCTGACCTCCCACCCTTCTGAGGTGGGATAATTGTTTCATTGATGGGAGGCGAGAGGTTGCCAACCCACAAATGAAAATGTAATACAGGCCCTGAACTTTGGAATTGCAATGCTTTTACTGCGATGATGATGATGATGATTATTATGGTTATTGTAGACGAGCCTTTGGCCCGTCCAAGGACGGGTGTATTGCAGTAAATCTGAAACTTGCAAGCGAAAAGCAGACCTCGACGTGATATATTCATTGCATCAATTCGTGTACAATTTCTAAGGGCGCGGTGACACAGACTTAATTCATTTTAAGGTTATAATCCCTTGTTCATCACGACGTCCTTTTTACTTCGATGTCTCAACGGCATGACGGAGATCACGTGATGACGTGAGGGTTCTGCCTTTGTAGTGAGGGTTGTGAGTTGACGCCGAGGATGGGGGGGGAGGCGCCCCCCCCCCCATGTGGAGTGACGTCAGCCGCTAATTATTATTTATGGGGGGGGAGTGTCCATTTGGAGGACGTCACCTTATAATGATTATTAATGAGGGGGGCTGTTCGATGTGGAGTGACGTCACTTGCCCATGATTATTAGTGAGGGGGAGTCCTCCATATTAAGTGATGCCACCCGCTCATGAATATTAATGAGGGGGGCTGGTCGATGTGGAGTGACGTCACGAGCGTTGTGTATGGGGTGGATTGTGATGATGATAACGACGGTGGTAACAAGGATAATGAAGATGATGATGGCGAATGAAAACGATGATTGTGATGATGAATTAGTAGACAATAGTGATGATAATGACAATACAAAGCTTGGTGATGTATGTATGTTGAACTTCTGTTCGCACCATACATAGCCAACCGTGCCAATAATGATTCTGATATAATAACGACGGTCGTCATGATGATGATTTGAGGACGTGGACAGTTTTGATGACGACGATGACGATGATGATGATGAAGAAGCCACCGGCGTAGAGATTACGATCAGAACCGTGACGACCGTGACAGCGATACAACGATGACCGCGACGACGACGACAAGATTACCGCCGCCACCACCGACGGCAAGGACGCTGACGCTCACGTCCCTGTCCGCAGGCCGCTACTGGGAGACCGTGCAGCGCCTGCGCATCAACCAGTTCTACGGCGCGCCCACCGCCATCCGCCTGCTCATCAAGCACGGCGACAAGTGGGTGAACAAGTACGACCGCTCCTCCCTGCGCATCCTCGGCTCGGGTGAGTCGCCCGTGCCAAGGGGTTGGTTGGTCGGTCAGCGGTGGTTTTCGGGGCGAGTCGTCCGAGCCGATGGGCTCCGGCGCAAGCCCCACCCCCCCCCCCCTCCGGGTTTTCCTACGGTTGGTCGGCACGCGGCGACGAATCGCCGCTCCCGCACTCCGAAGATTTGCTGCTGTCGTAGAGTGCGGTCGTGTCGCTACGGTTCTCTGCGGTGAAATGCGATGTCTTTGAAATGGCGCTGCTACGTCTCTCGAAATAAAATTAATGCTGAGGCACTCGCGTGTTCCCAGATTCAGCGGTGAGCGGAACCCCACCGTGCAACTTGCACATGTCTCAGAACGGGAAAGGGTTAAGCGCTTTCGCCTGCATTGCTCGCGGCGCTGACTGGCGATTGTGACCGATGTGTCCGCAGTGGGCGAGCCGATTAACACGGACGCGTGGGAGTGGTACCACAAGGTGGTGGGAGAGGGCCGGTGCGCACTGGTGGACACCTGGTGGCAGAGCGGTGAGTCGCCCGGGGACGGGAGACGGAGTGCCGGCCGCGGCGGGGGTCACGGAGGGACTGACGATGGAGAGACGGGAGAAAGGACGGAGGGCAAAGAGAGATGGGCGGACAGACAGGATGTCGTAGAGACAGCGGGGCAGAAGGATGGGGGGTTGAAAGGATAGGAGAGGGAGATAGAAGGCCAAGAGAGGCGGAGGGTACGGGAACAGAGAGATGAACAGGAGAGGACGTTATAGAGACAGAGGCACAGATATGGGGGGAATGGAAATATGGGGGGGGGGGGGGGGGGGGTACAGAATAACAGAGACACAAGCACAGATACATTGAGAGAGAAGGAGGGAGGGAATCAAAAACGGAGAGACAGGGACAGAATGAGAGAGTATGATGGCAGTGGATGGATCATGGGCGACGACGATGATGACGATGAAGAATTACCTTAGCCAGTGTCATCGTGTTCTTGTCATCACCGTTTGTCTTTGCGCTACCGCCCTTGCGCATCGCCCAGAGACCGGAGGAATCTGCATCAGCCCCCGGCCCTCGGAGCCCAATGCGGAGATCATCCCGGCCATGGCCATGAGGCCCTTCCTGGGAATCCAGCCGGCGCTGTTGGACGACAAGGTGAGACTCGGGTGGGTGGGGCGGGGGGGGGGGGCAGGAGGGGCAGGTGGATCACGCAAAGATGGAAGCGTTCGCCCTTAATGCGCCCGACCTCGCCGGGTCTCCCAAGGTTAAGCAGGATTTAGCCTGGTTAGCTCTCGGACGGGAGGATTTGTGGCAATACTAGGTTGTTGGAGCCTTGGGCTCCGAAGCGGCCTGGAGATTGCAGTCGAGCAGTGTGGATTCTTAAATAGATCTGTGCAGAACTTTGAGTGGCTTTTCTCCGTGCGCGTGTGTGTGTACGTTGCTGTGACCCGAGGTTCGATTCTCGCTCGCGCGCCCAACACCGACGAATATCTGACCCAGCCCTAGGCCTCCCTCGGTCTTAAACGAGTACCCAGCGCGGTGCGTGATCACTGCCAACTGGGGAGACAAAGGCGGCCGGGCCTGGTAATTCCGGCCTCAACGCGAGCTTGCCTTGCGACGCTTGGACCCCAGCGGTACCTGTTGAAGACTACCTCGGCGGAACCTTTTGCATGCCGCTGCTGCCGCTGCTGATGCCGTGTGACCTCCACCAGGGCAAGGTAGGTGAGCGGCAATGACGCCAACGGAGCTCTGTGCATCGCGCAGCCCTGGCCCGGCATGGCACGCACCATCTACGGCGACCACAAGCGCTTTGTGGAGACCTACTTCAAGGCGTACCCGGGTGAGCTCGCGTGCGCGACGCCGCCGCCGCGTCTCAGCGGCGTCTCGGCGGCGGTGGGCAGTGACCTCTGGTCGTTCTGCGGGAGCGGCGGGAGAGCGGGTCGCACTGTCGCGGTCGGTCTCGCCGCGTTTTCCGCTTTTCGGCGTGGGGTGGTGTTGCTTCTGGACGTGTCGTTTGCGTCATCGCTGTCAGAATCGGCGGCAGTTGGCGTCGGTATTGCTGGGCACTGTAATCGGCAGCAGCAGCAGCAGCATCGGCAGCATAATCATCGCCATCGTCAGCGGCATTGTCATTGTCACCGTCGGCAAAAGCAGCGTCACCATTACCATCTTCAACATTGACATCCTCATCATCAGCAGCAGCAACAGCATCGCTATCACCACCGCAAGCAGCATTATCATCAGCATCATCGGCAGGATGAGGAGGAGCAGCATCTCATCACCATCATGATCACCATCATCATAATCGTCTGGTTAATACAGATGGTAATGGACAGTGGGTATCATCATTAGCATCATCAATCATCATCACGAGCGCTCCTAACACTTGCACTACTGCGATCATCATTGTCATCGTCATCATCGTTATCATCTGCAGCAGCAGGAGCATAGTTGGTTCCGTCGCGCTAACCACCGTGCCACCACTTGTGACCGTGCCGCCCAGGCTTCTACTTCAGCGGTGACGGCGCGTACCGCACCAAGAAGGGCTACTACCAGATCACCGGCCGCATGGACGACGTCATCAACATCAGCGGGCACCGGCTGGGAACCGCCGAGGTGGAGGACGCCATGGTGAGAGCGGGCGACGGGGCGGTGGGGGTAGCTGGGGCCGCGGGTGACGGGGCGGCGAGATGTTAAATGCCTCGCCTGGTACGCAGGAGGTCGTGGGTTCTATCCCTACCCTGATGCCTGCTGTATATTTGGAGTTTGTGTGTCTCTCTCCCCCGTGGATTCTTTCTTCACCGGGTCCTCCAGTTATTCACCTCACAATTAGAATCGACACGCGTTTTAGATCCTTTGGCTGCTCTAAATTTCCACATCAAAAGCCGCTTTATTGAGCTATCATTTGTGGCCAGGCCGCTTCTGAAAAAGAGGTATGCGGCTCAGTGGGGACCTTACCTGGTAAAATAATAAAAAATAGATTAACAGTGGGGTGGCCACGCACGATTCGTCGACGTGTCAATCACAATCCGGTCTTGGTCCCACGCTCCGTCTCCTGGGATGGGCCGATGCGTGAGACCGTCTCTTCTCTCGGGCTTTCGCCACACACTACCGCGGGCGTCTTCGGCAAGTTTGAAGCGCTTCGCTTGGAAGCGCTTTGGCTCCCGTTGTTGGGTGCGCTATTAGGAGCGTGTATCCCGAGCACGGTGATCAGACCCGGATCGTTAGCTCCACACACCCACGTGTCGTTTCCCTCTCTCTTTGTTCCAGAAGTCTCTCGCGAAAGAAAAGTTTACGTGATCGCAACAGACCATCGTCATCGTCCGAACAGCGCTCGGGCGATGACGGTTTCGCGAACGCAGGACTTTCGCCGGACCGACGTTACAATTCGCGGTTCGGTTTCGTGGTCAGACCGCCTGGGCAAAGTAAACTAAAGCTGTCGCGTGATAACTCGATTTTTTTGGCTGCATCGGGTGGAGGAGGGGCATACGAGACGCACTGGAATCTGACTCGAGCGATCCGACCGAAACAAATTGAATAGGATAACGATACATTTTTATAAAATAAATAAATAGATTTTGTTTTTGTTATGATTTATTTTTGACTGACTCTTCTGTCTGTGCCCAGGGAGAGCACCCGGACGTGGCGGAGACGGCTGTCGTCGGATGCCCCCACGACATCAAGGGGCAAGGTCAGTGACGGGCGTGGGACGGACAGCAGATTGGGGATCGCAACATTCTTCATGCTCCCACACACCAGTTGTACACCAGTGGTGCACGTGACACACCAGTGGTGCACGTGACACACCAGTGGCGAACGTGACACACCAGTGGCGCACGTGACACACCGGTGGTGCACGTGACACACCAGTGGCGAACGTGACACACCAGTGGTGCACGTGACACACCAGTGGTGCACGTGACACACCAGTGGCGAACGTGACACACCAGTGGCGCACGTGACACACCGGTGGTGCACGTGACACACCGGTGGTGCACGTGACACACCAGTGGCGCACGTGACACACCAGTGGTGCACGTGACACACCAGTGGCGCACGTGACACACCAGTGGCGCACGTGACACACTGGTGGTGCACGTGACACACCAGTGGTGCACGTGACACACCAGTGGCGCACGTGACACACCGGTGGCGCACGTGACACACCAGTGGCGCACGTGACACACCAGTGGTGCACGTGACACACCGGTGGTGCACGTGACACACCGGTGGTGCACGTGACACACCAGTGGCGCACGTGACACACCGGTGGTGCACGTGACACACCAGTGGTACACGTGACATACCGGTAGTGCACGTGACACCTGCCACTGTGGCAGTGCCACACCAGAGGCGTCTAGCGTGGCTGGCATGGAATAAAAACCACATCCCCCCCCCCACGCCCCATCCAATCCCCCCCTTGCCCCACTTTGCAGTCTGACAACCGGGCCCCCCCTCCAGCCCCAGTACATTATGAATGCCCAATGGATACACTCGCCTCTGCCATAGGAATGAGGAATTTCCACCACCGACTCAGGGCTGTGATTATCGCTGCTTCAATGCTCATTTGAGCAGGATATCACGTTCACTTTAGACTCTCCCCCGAACCACAAGGTTCGAGTGCTCCCACCTGTGCACGCCACTGCACTGATCACCCAACGCTCCATCTCACCCAATGCCCCCCCACCCCTTCACTGGGCTCTCCCCCCACAGGAGCCTACGCCTTCGTGATCCTGAAGGAGAACATCAAGAAGCCGCAGGATAAGATCGTCGCCGACATCCGCAACATCATCTCCACCAAGATCGCCAAATACGCCGTGCCCGACAACATCCTGGTGAGCAAGAAACTAAAAACCGGCCGGCGGCCATGCTACCCAGCGCGGCCTGGCAAGGGGAGAGCGTAGACGGGGCGGGGAGGGGGGCGGCACGGATGTTCGTACGTATGCATGTTGAATTGCTTTCGCGCTATACGTTGCCAACCGTGCCAATCGGAGGTGCGGGCGGGGGGGGTTGAAGGACGAGCTATACAGGAAAACCAGTTTTAGAGCAATTCGTTTTTTTTATAACCTAGATAATTAAAAAGTACAGAGGAGTACAGTAGAGCAAAGAGATTCTGCTGCAGTGGCCCCCCCCGCCGGCCACGGCGATGCAGGTTCCACGACGCTGTCGGCGGGTGACGAACGTTTTACGGGGCAAACGCGTCCGGCGTCGTACGCGTCGTCAACGACGATGGCTCTGCAGGCAGCGATTACAGATACCGGTGGGGTGGGGGGGTGGGGGCGTGGGGGTTGACGGCATGGCTGACGAGACCACACGTTCGCGGCGCATTCGGTTTTGAGAAAATCTCATCGTGGCCGTCATCGGCGTCGCCGTCCACCATTGACGCACTGATGGGCGGAGGCATCGCCCCAGTCCACGGTCCACCGAGTCACCCACCCCTCACGCACGCTGGCTTTGTCTCTCCGTCCTCTCGGGCGATTTCCCTCCACCGACCCCCCACCGCCTCCGAACTTTGGCTGCTACTCCCTCGCTAGGCTTGACCACATTGATCGTGCCGAGCTGTTGCGGGGCGAGCCATCAGGGGGATGGGATGTCCTCGCCTTTTGGAGGCCTCATATCTTCTATTGAAAACTCACTCTTTTTGCACACTTTCATTGAACTTGCCTTGTTGTCTGTTAATATTATTTCAACTCTTTGGCCCTTAATATCTTCGGATCTACGAAGCCTGACGAGCCGACGATATTTTTTATTATTGAAAACTCATTTCTTTAAAACTGCTCTTTGAGTTGCGTTTCTTATCCTTCCCCGCACCTCCGATTAGCACAGTTGGCTACGTACAGTGCGAATGAAGTTCAGCATACATACACGCATACATACAGCGCCGAGGCAAAGTGCCCTTTCTAAGTCCCAGGGCTCGGTTCCAAATGGAACACTTGGATTTGAAGCCCGGGCCAAAAAGGCCCCAACCGCCGATCCCCTACCAAGCCCCCTCCCCTCCCCGCCGCCCCCACCCTTTCCCCCAACAGATTTATTCAAAATGTTGTTTTGTTTCTTAGAAGAAAGTCGAACGCAGATTAGCCTACCGCAACACATTTACATTGGCCTTGAAAAAAGGGCGCGCTGAATGCGATTTTGACACTCGAGTGCAAATGAGAACACGGGGCCGGAGGGCGATTTACTTGTGCGGGAAGGAACAGAGGAGCATTTCTCGCCGTGCCACCCCCCCCCCCCCCCCCCGCCGCGGGCTCAAATCGGTCGGTCTGCAACCGGTGTGTTTGGCAAGAGGTCAAAGTACTCTTTCTCCAGCCCTGCCCGCCGCTGAGGCGAGGGGGCTGGCTGCGTGCGGCAAAGCCGTCGCTTTGTTGTTGTGAATTGCGGTTCGGCTGCTCAAGAGGACACGATCTGTTTGACGAGCGGCACCGTAAATCCTGCACAGGCCCTAAAAAGTGCAACCTCTGAGGTCACGGAATTGACGGAGCATCGGCCCGGATTTGCTCCTTGACTCTCTCGCCACTCTCTCGACTTCCCTCCACACTCCTCCCTCTCCTCTCTCGTCTCTTACCTCTGGCCACTCATCTCTCACTCGGCTCCTCTCCACGCACTCTCCTACCTTTCCCGTTTCAACTTGCTCAATCCCACGTCTCTATGTACGTATGTCGAACATCCTTCGCACCGTGCGTAGGCAACCGCGAACGCTCCTAACTTCTCCCTATCTTCTCTCGCTACTTCCCCTCCGCACACTCTCACACCTCAACCCCCCCCCCCCCCCCCCGCTCACCTCTCCTCATTCGTGTGAGCTCATAGCAAACTTCAATATTTAAAGTTGCAAAGAATATCCAGCACCATGGGTTTTGCACCAAGAGACCACTCTTGGTACAGCAATCGTGGGACGTTACTAACTTTCACCATCACGTCCGGCCTCGCAAAGATGTGGTGGCGTAATAGCTTGGTGCAGATTTGCCGCGGCGTAACGTAAGGGTGTGAACCATAAGGGAAAGCTACTGCGGTGTCTTCACATTCAGTTGGTCACACGTCTAACGCCGCTGAGAGATGGTGTCTTGGGCACTGGTGGGAAGTTCGTTGGGATTGAACGGTCCGTCGAAAGTTACTTTGAGTGCCCACGGGCGTCTAGAGTGGATAAGCAGCGATGTGGGGGCCGATAAGCTAACTTATCGGTTCCACAGATCAGTGGTTTATTTTGTTATTGTAATTTCACGTCGTGAACTCTCAAACGAAAGCCTCATTCGTTGCAAGTGGTGGAGCGGTTCACGAGCAAACGTTCTCCCAGACAAACGTACGTACGCGCAGATTAGCGGCGTATATTATTGATAAGTTTAACGTGCCTTTGTGTGCCGGCTCTGTGTGAAGTATCCATTGCAATCAGGATTTGAGCGACCATGGACTCCACGTTATGAACCCTGGTACAGCCGAGCTTGACTCCCAGCCATGGCTAACATCAGTGGCAAGTGATATCTGAACTGGTTCTAGGATCCCCCCCTCCCCACCACCACCACCACAACCCCCCTTCACCAACCTGCACTGACCAGCGACGCAACGGTGGCGAGAGGTCACGGGGTCGATCTTGACCCAGACACCTGTATATTTGGAGTTTGCATGTTCTCCCCGTGATCGTGTGAATTTTTCTCTGGAGCCTCCAGTTTTCCCCTCCACATTTAACAACGTGCGTTTAGAGTATTTGGTTGCTATAAATTTCCACGCGATGGTAAGCCAGGCCGCTTGGGAAAAAGAGTTACAGAGCTCAGTGGGCCTTACCTGGTAAAATAAAGATAGTTTATAGTTTATTTTAGAATGGTCAAGTATGGTCTAACATAGAGCTTTCTTCAGCAATGCCGGTAATTATCATTATTATTCCCTGGTCCAACAACAGCTGATCTTCCTGCACATGGGTTAAATTTGAACGTGACTTTCAGGGCACAAATGAGTCGGTCTGGCTTTTTCCAGCAACGCCGCCTGTTCTGCCCATCAATTGCGATGTTAATTGAATGAATTAGGGTACACACACTCAGCCGTTGGAATAGTTACAACAACAATAATAACAAGCTTTGCAAAGGGTTCAGGTGTCACTCGTCAACTGATGTTTACTCTGGCCGGAAATGGAACTCGGGTCGCTGGGTTCATAGTACGGTTATTAAAATAGTGTTTTCCCATTACCCATAACCCCAATTTTTTGTTGTTCATGAGGTCACAAACCACTGTCCGGTTTTGCCACACACGGGCGCGGTGGTGGCGAGATTTTAACGACCTCGAATGGTTATCAGGAGGTTGTGGGTTCGATCCTGACCCTGCCACCTATATATTAGGAGTTTTCATGTTTTCCCAACGGTTTTTCCCTTCACATTTATAAACATGCATTCAGAGTATTTGGCTGCTATAAATTTCCACACGGTAAACCACTTTGGTTGAGCTATCATTTGTGGCCAGGTTGCTTCTGAAAGAGAGCTAATGTAGCTCAGCGATGTCTTAGCTGGTAAAATAAAAATAGTTTTTTTGTTTTACGTGTTAAAAAAAAAACAAAAATCTAACTTTTTTTTTAAACCGAGAACTGCTTGTCCCTTGCGCGCGCGCGCGTGTCTGTGTGTTTGTATGTGTGTGTATGTGTGTGTGTGGGGAGCGGTGGTGTAGCGGTTAGCGCGCTGCGCTATGAACCAGTGACGATTATCTGAACCGGTCCTGGGCCTCCCCTAGGTCGACTCAGCCTTAAATGAGTACCTGGTGCGGTGTGTAAACATCGCCACTGGGGAGACAAAGGCGGTCGGGCGTGGTGCTGGCCACCCACCCCCTCGTGTACCGTTCCGGCCTTCATAGGTGCTCGCTAACAGCACTTGCCCCTACAGTCTGTTCAGGCTATACGGGGGGTCTTTATCTTTATGTGTGCAACTGCCAGCAGAGGAAATAGCTGTTCTGTTGTCTTTCCTCTCTGCGTTTCCACTCATTGGCAGACACATTTTCTGGGCAGATGATTGTACATTTTGGGAAGAAAATAATTACCAGAGCCAACGTTTCTAACATTGAATAATAACAAATCTAAAAGTGATGAATTTACAGCCGTTTCTCAACTCTACTGCTAGATGAAGCCCCCCCCACACCGTTATTCAAACATAGTGGTGGTGATTATAAAGACCATTCACTTAATTTCCACATTGATGCCTCACAACAAGAAATGCCCGGGTTTGATTCAGAACTTGGGAGCCTATCTGTGTGGAATTGGTAGATTCCCCCCTGTTCTGCAGAGGGAGTGAGTAAACGTTGTTCATTCTAACCCTGTTCTGTAGAGTGAGAATGAGTGAGTGAAGTTTTTATTCTCTCCCCCCTGTTCTTCACGAGTTTCCTCTCGGGTTCTCTGGTTTCCTCCCAATGCTAAAACATAAACATAGAATATAGTGATAGGTTTTTACCCTTTCAACTGGTACAAAAACTGACACCTTTATACAAGGCATCATGTTTGCAATAACCACAACACAAGCAGTCAAAATGCAAACAAAAGATGACGCCAAAAGGCGCCTTTTGGCGTCATCTGGTCCAACACCAATGGAGACTAGGCTCTAAGAAAAGCTGTCTCGGGTGTGGACCAATCAACTTCAAGGACAGTGCATATCATTATCTTTATCAGAGTTGTTTCTTTTTGTCTGCATTTTGACTGCTTGTGTTGTGGTTATTGCAAACATGATGCCTTGTATAAAGGTGTCAGTTTTTGTACCAGTTGAAAGGGTAAAAACCTATCACTATATTTTGCCACTGGTAAAGGAGATGTCTCATAGTATGAACATAGAATGTAACCGGTTTTGCCCAAACATCCCAATGCTGAAAGAATTACCTCCAAACTGCTCAATTGGGGATCGCACGCTACACACACAACACCTTGCCGCCGCTACAAATTAAACTAGTCGGACTCTCCTGACACTGGGTGAATATTTTCCTGGCTAAACAAGCATAATCATAAAAAAATATAAATATAACAATAGGTTTTACCCTATCTGGCCAGAATAAAACAGTTGCGTTAAGATGTTAAAACACCAAACAAAAACTTTTTACAAAAAATCACGTGTTGCATTAACCACATATACTTTTGGCGAACGTGCAAACAAAAAAACGTGCTCTGGTAGTATATGCATACATATGAATATATATATATCACTCTGTGAAAGTCACCCCACACCGAAAATGAGAACGCAAGCAGCCGGAGTCAAATTCCTCGTTCACGTGAGAGACGGAGGCCACGGCCGCTAACCACGTGGCCTCGCACGCGCCTCCCGGGGGCCCACCCCACGGGGGCCCACCCCACCCCACCGGGGGCCCACCCCACCCCACCGAGGGCACAACCCCACCCTCGCCAGCAGGGCAGATAACGCTGGTCAACACACTTTTTCTGGCATAAGGTATTCCAACGGGTTTAAGGTAATTTTGGGGCGCTGATTCCAAATCTGGCATCAGTTTTTGTCTATCACATCAGGTTTTTGAGATATCAAATATTGAATTTTCAATAAAGATTGCAGAAGAAAAATATTAAATAAATGTGGATATCTACATAAAATTATATCATAAACACACTATCCTAAAAATACAGCACCATATTTTAACACTAAAGCAGTCACTGACTCGCAACAACTTGCAATCATAAGTGACAGAATTAATTTCGGGTAAAATCAATGAAAATGGGGTATGCCGATAGCATAAAAATGAGATGTGATAGAGCAAATCTGAGATGAGATTTGGAATCGGCACCCTGAAATTAGTCTAAAACAGCTGCAAAAGTCCAGGCCAGAATTTTTTTTGTTGACCAGTGTTATTCTTTTCTCATCGCCTCCGTCCCACGGCCACTGGCCGTTGACAGCTCCAAGTGGCCACTCATTGTTTGGGGGGCACAAAGTCTTGGCACGATTTCTCGTATTGTTTCTTTTTTAAGCGGCCGTTTGTAAATACGGCTTTCCGTGGGACGGGAGTGCACGCGTCATGGCAAAGAACTGGCACTTGATTAAATTCCTGTCGTAGATTTCATAACCCTGCGTGGATGTGTTTGTGTGTGTGTGCAACGTTGCGCTACAAACCCGGTGACCCCCGAGTTCGATTCACGGCCAAGAGCAGTAACGATTATCTGAATCGGGCCTGGGCCTCGCCTTGGTCGACTCGGCCTCAAATGAGTACCTGGTGCGGTGTGTAAACATCGCCACTGGTGAGACAAAGGCGGCCGGGCGTGCCGTGCCGGTCTTCATAGATGCTCGCGAACAGCACTTGCCCCAACAGTCTGTTAAGGCTACAGGGGGAATGTTTGACTTTGTTGTTTTTACGCGTGTGCATGCGTTTTGACGTCATTGCATGCGTGTGTGGTTTTTTTTGGCAGGTGTGCGCCATGCGTAGGCCAGCACACCACGTGAGTCATTGCGTGTTTTGACGTGGCCGTGCGTCCGTGTGTCCGCGTGCCACCAGGTGGTGAAGCGCCTGCCCAAGACGCGCTCCGGGAAGATCATGCGTCGTCTGCTCCGCAAGATCGCCGCCAACGAGGCCAAGGAGCTCGGAGACCTGACCACCCTGGACGACTCGGACGTCATCCAGGAGATCGTCAACGGTCACAACGAGCTGCAGAAGAAGGCGAAGAAGTGATCGCGCCGCGGCGGAAACGTCGCCCTGACGAAAACCCCCCCCCCACCCCGACCCCGCCAGTGCTCCTCAACCTCACACTACAAGCGCTTATCACACTAACACTACCAGCACTGCTGGCTTCTCCCCCCTCACCTTGCCAGCACTCCCTCTCCTCATCCCTAACCCCCGCCAATATCCCTCACCCAACCCTTAACCCATTCCCACCCATCCTCCTCCTCCGCCTCCTCCTCCTCCGCTGCTGATGCTGATGCTGCTGCTGACGGTGCTGTGATGGCATCGGAGTTGTTCGTCACCTCGTGTCTCTTGGGGAACCGAAGCGCACACGTTCGCGTTCGCGTCGCGATCGTGTCAAAGTGCCTGCACGTGAGAGTCACGGCCTAACGATGGAGGCCGTGAGCTCCGATTTGGGTTTTGTAGACGCACCGTTTGCTTATTCTCCTCCACAGCCATTTGTCGATCAGCTGTTGGAGAAAGACATCCCCTTGCCGTGTCAGTGATGAGGGAGGTGGGGGGTGTTGAGCGGTGAATTAAAAAGAACGTATTTGGGTGTCGCTTCCCAAACATCTGTGAGCTGTATAAGAGGGCAAGCAGCAGACAGCATCGTCTCCCCAAAGAGGACTCTCGCCCCATCCAATAAACAAATAAATACTTGGCTTTTTCGATCCGTATGAGAGGGCCTATAATGAAGGGACCATCTGTTGAAGGGACCAGAAATCTTGCCATGTTTGCACTAAGGTCGGCTTCGCTGCTTTTAAGGGTGCTGGGTTATCGTCTTATAGCCACCGTAGTGTATTGGGGGTATTTAACGGTATCGTAGATATAAAATATGTATTCCAGAGGTGAAAAACAGTACGGCAAGCATACGCACGTTTAAAAGAACAACCAACAGTCTTAATTCGTGAAGAGGTGCTAATAAAAAAACGCGTGGAAGTTTTAACTGAAGGTATTTTTAAAATGGTAATTGAACAAGGGAACGGCGGGACCAACGTGACCTCTGCAGTTTTAATCCGTGTTTTTTTTTGTCTGCTTGACTTGTTGCTATGGCATTCCTCCACGAGTCAATGGGTCAGTTTGCCTTAGCCCCGTTGTACTTTTACTTGAATTCTGCACTTGAGTTGTTTTAAACGCACAGTTCCAACGTTTCCGCCCGATGAATTAATTTACGCGGAATAAATACTGCTCGGGGGGCCGCTGGTGGTGGTGGTGGTTATGATGATTAATGCTGTGATTTTTGTTTTGTTAATGTTAACAAAAGCGGAACAAACAGGGGCGGTCTGTGAAACTGAATTATTCTGCCGTGGATACAAAAAAATAAACCACCCCCCCACCGCAAAAAAGTCGAGAACTAAAAATGCACTCCAGACGGTCCCCGTTTAAGCCTGGAGCTTTCTGTTTTTGAATGTTTATTGTCATTGAACAAATATTGGACACCTATGCACAGGAACGTGAGCACTCGTACGAATATGTGCCGTTAATATAATACAGAATGTTTCTGCAGAATGAGAAAAAACTACATGTATTATCTGTACATATACAAATAATAAAATATATATGAGCAACTTAACATCGAGATATGAGCGAGCGTCTTTCTTCACAATCGACTTGTGTCCGTGTCCAAGCAGTCCATTACCGGGTTTAAAAATAACTTTATTTTCTCTTTTTCTCGAACAAGTGCCGATTTGTGCGGGTAAATGTCTTGTAAATCTGAGATGGATTTGGACTGAGTGTGGTCAGGACCGGTGTTGATTTAAGGAAGAGTGTAGGGGAGTATACTAATAGGGGTTTTTCCCCTTTTTTCTGCAACAAAACTGACACCTTTTGCAAGGAATCATGCTTACATTAACCACAATACTTGCAGTCAAATGCAAACAAAAAACAATACTCTGACTGCAAGTATTGTGGTTAATGGAAGCATGATTCCTTGCAAAAGGTGTCAGTTTTGTTGCCAGAAAAAAGGGGAAAACCCCCTATTAGTATATTTTGGTACTGTCAAAGGAGGTCCATTGATGAGTATAGGGGAGGTCGACATAGGTCACGGGTCGGAACCCCAAATAACAAGTACACCTATTTTTTTTTATAGAATTCTTTGAAAAAAAAGTCAATATTTCAAGAGCCGCAATGCACTGTGTGGCGAATACGAGACGGTCCTTAATAAAAAAACGTCACGAAGTAGTTCTTGGAGAGCTGCCGCAGGCTGCTGACCCCTGACCTAGGGGAAGGAGGCCCAAGCTATGTTCGGACACCACCTGCCACTGTTGGTGGGGAATTGAACTCAAGTCGCTGGGATTGTAGCGCCGCAGTGCGCGAACGACTCGTGGTGACGTGGCCGAGCGATGGTGCGTTTGTCGCTTGTTGAAAAAGTTCACGGTTCGAATCTCGTGGCCGCCCCTGGTTATATTACTGCGGGGTGTAGTTACCGTAATAACATTGAGCGCAGTCCGCATCACAGGGTCCAAATTTGGCAAATAAAAAAGTACTCAATTGGGATTACGCACAGCAGCAATCGGCGCCCCCTACTGACAGACTAATGCCCCAGGTCACTCTTGCAATCACTATATCCTCGTCTCTTGAGTTCTCACCCGGTTAAACAACATGAGCTTGAACCACTGTGCCACCACTCTCTACTACCCCCGTTTAGCCTTATCAGACTGTCGGGGCAAGTGCTGTTAGCGAGCACCTATGAAGGCATGCACGGCACACGAAGGGGTGAGTGGCCTGCACCACGCCCGACCGCCTTTGTTTCCCCAGTGGCGATATTTACACACCGCACCAGGTACTCATTTGAGGCTGCGTCGACATCGGGGAAGCCTAGGACCGGTTCAGATAATCGTCACTGGTGTTGGCCGTGAGCGGGAATCAAACTCGGGTCACGCTTTCCACTACACTACCGTTCTACTTAACCACTGCACACACATATACACACATACACACAAAAGGTGTCATCTCCATTAGAATACGCTCTCTGCGCTATTTGGGATATGTTTACCAATCATCAGGCACAGGCATCACGGAACGACTTAATTTGTACTGGAAAATAAGGTAAATTGGAAACCTCGGAAAGCCGAACCATATGGGGTTCGAAAAATTGGTTTCCACATTTTTAATTGCACAACGGTGAAAGTTACGTATTTTAATTGTCTAAAATGGTTCTGGAATTGAATCTTCTCAGATCCTATTGAGTTGACATTTGGTCCCAGGAATGCATCACGTTCACGACGGTTCCCATTGACCTCGCGACAACAGGGCCACCCATAATGCAATGTGCTCGCAACATTGTATAATGTAACTTTGACCACAAATGAGTTCATGCAGGATTCACATTTTTGATTATTGAAGGGGTTGTCTATTACGCCATTGCTACAAATATGTAACTATTCACATACCAATTAAAAATGTGGATCAGAACACATTTTAAAACTAATTCTCATCAGGCCCCATTGTGTAAAGTTCAGTCTCCAACTCTTATTATCCACTCTCCATCTCCTCTCTATTTATATGCAACGAAGAAGGGATATTACTCAAAGCGTCGTTTATAAATATAAATTCTCCTTATAAGGCCATAGCGTTAACTTTCTTGTTGTTGTCGGGACTGACTGATGCTGACTTTCTTGTTGTTGTTGTTGTCGGGACTGATTGATGCTGACTTTCTTGTTGTTGTTGTTGTCGGGACTGATTGATGCTGACTTTCTTGTTGTTGTTGTTGTTGAGACTGACTGATGCTGACTTTCTTGTTGTTGTTGTCGGGACTGATTGATGCTGACTTTCTTGTTGTTGTTGTTGTCGGCACTGATTGTGCGGAAACTGCAGGGATCCGCACCGGGCGTTAAACCCACCCCACTAAGGTACACCGTGGGAACAGGTAGGAACAGGTGCAATCCAGTTCGCCTTCTTACAACTTTTAAAATGTTTGGTAATTTGACACTTTTACACGACTTATTCTTTTCTCGTTGCGTCCTGGGCTGGACTAATCGTGTGCCGTCTCCTTCCTCGTATCATACCTAGCTTTCTAAAACATTGTCAAGACGCAGAAGAAAGCATACAGCATTGTCTTTGAGCTGTACGCCTTTTGGCGTCCTCTGGTCTAACACTGTTTGAGACGAGGCTCGAAAGAAAGCTGTCTCTGGTGTGGCCCTATCAGTTTCAAAGACAATGCATATATTATCAGAGTATGTTTTTTGTTTGCATTCTGACCACAAGTATTGCGGTTAATGCAGACATGATTCCTCGTAAAAAGGTTTCCGTTTTGTTGCCAGAAAAAAGGGGAGAAAACTATTCTTATATTTTGGTGCTGGCAAAGGAGGTCCCATGATATAAAGCGTATTCTCTTACAACTAAGAAACGTCCTGGGATTCGCCGGGCGGCTTATTTAGGTTGAGCGTTGAGCCCGGCACCGCAGAGAGCCTTGGGTTCCAATACGGGTTTCAGCCATCCATGATGGTATCAGCTCATGATGGATTTTTACAGGGCCGCGATGGATGACTACGGCCGTGGGGGAGGCCGTCATCCAGCGGTGGATAGAACACGGCTCGCGATGCTGATGATGTAGTTTTATCGTGCGCTTTATTTGAAGGCGGGGGGGGGGGGGATGTCTTTGGTTAAATGCGGTTCCATCCTCTGCATTCTGCATCACCCTCAGTCGCTGAGCTGCAGAGATTGCGTGACTCAGGTCCTTGCAGAACCAACTCGGCATACCCATTAATTAACCGCGAGACGGGGCGGGGGGGGCATAAGGGGCCGTCCATAAATGACGTCACGCACCTAGGGAGGGTGGGGTCAGACATTTGTGACGATGTGTGACGAGGGGGCGGGGCGGGGGGGTTGAGAAATGTGACGTCATATCAAAATGCGCAACTTTAAATAAATATAGCCAACACGTTCTACTTAATTAAATTGACTTTTAAATAAATGTTTTCTCCTACAACATCAGAGTGCAGCGCCGCATTAAATACGCACTACAATGACAATAGTTTAAAGCGATTTGAAGCATGTTTATTTTGGGGGGGGGAGGGGCAGAGCTTTGTGACGTCATATTTGAGGGGGGGTCTGACTTTTTGTGACGAAGGGGGGGGGGGGGTCAAAAATCGTCCAAAATCGCGTGACGTCATTTATGGACGGCCCCTAACTGAGTCTTGCGCCAAGGTCAATGGGTCGCCGCGGTCAACGGCCTTGATGCCAACACACCCCGGCCATCGCTTCCTTCCTTCCGCCAGATCTCGGCAGTCGTTGCGCAGAGTCGGCACCCAATCATCAATCAACGCTGCCGCCGGCTTCACAGCGTTACAGCTCTTCCCCTCGTATTCTTAGGTTTTTTTCGGTAAAGTCACGTAGGTAAAAAAATTACAATTAATAAAAGTAAAATAAAAATAAAATAAAAATCACGACGTTTCGGAGGCAACACAAGCCACCGTCTTCAGGTGGAACCGTCACAGCACGATTGCTGTATCAAGTAAGGGAAATTCCAAGAAAACCATCCTTGTATATATACTGGTTGAGGGTGGGAGGAGCCAAGGTAGGCCCTGGATATTATTTTTGTTAGGTTTTTTCGGTAAAGTCACATAGGTAAAAAATTAAAATTAATAAAAGTAAAATAAAAATAAAATAAAAATCACGACGTTTCGGAGGCAATACAAGCTTCCGTCTTCAGGTAGAACCGTCACAGCCACGATAGCTGCTCGTCACACGGTCGACGCGACCTTCACGCACCTGCGCTTAAGAGTCCGATCGCCACCAGGTGGTGGTGGTGGTGATCGATGAGACTGGGTGACCACTCGGATGCACCTCTCGATAACCTCCCCTTCCGTCGTGCACACGCAACCAGAACCCACACACCCACAACTTCCTCCCCCCCTCCTCCTCCTCGTGATTACATCAACAACGAATTCCTTGCTGCCACGTTCCACGCGGAACTTCAACGTTGCTTGACCCTCCCCTTCCATCAATTCCCAGCATGCTCCGCATAGTTGTGTGGTACTGTCCAAGGCTGTAATTATCATATATATATTGGGGGGGGCACATCCTCAAAATGTCCCTCCCCCCCAAAATATATTGCTATGAATAGATTTCTGTTCATATGATTGTGGTAATGGTTGTACTTTAAGAATCCCTCATCTCTGCCAAAACATGCAATGAAACAAGAAAAGGTAAACAAAAAACAGAATAATGTAATACAATGCACTCGTCGACATTATTGTTGAAAAGAAATAGAAAGTCCATCCTATGTGTTCGTGATTTTTTTTTTCGGCAGGAAATCCGTTTTCAAATTTAGATTTTTTTTTTCTGGGGAGGGGGGGACCCCCAGACCCCCTGGAAGATTTGGTCTCCCCCAATGTTGACTCCATGGCTACGGCCTTGGTACTGTCACCCACGTGGACATCTTCTCGCAGAGCCCAGCCGGTATCAGCCAGAGGGGAGACCGCTCAGATCCCGGTTCGCGTGTCGGACACCCGCCCCAGACCTGATCAGACGAAGAGGCGAGCGCCTTGCATTGATCCTGACGCTGGATGAGGCGGGTAGCCGACTTGACGCACGGCGCTACGAACCTGGCGGCATGAGTTCCATTCCCTT